CCAAGGCAGACGTCGTGTTGACAAGATGGTGATGGCCTTCTTGAACTCGATGCGAGTTCGCGCGAGTGACTTGTCTTCCATGAAAATCCTTCACGGTCGTGGTAAACTTGTCATAGAGTTCCTTGCTCTGAGCATACTCGTTCAACGCTTCCGGAGACGCCATTTCGCCAACAGCAGCGCCGGATGCGGCGGGGGGATTTGGCGCGCGCCACAATCTTGACACCGCCAACGGCGGGGCCAGGCGCTGCAGCGGGCAGAGCAGCAGTTGGGGCCGCAGCAACGGGAGCGGCAGCACCTGGAGCATTGGCCTTCGCTTGAAGTTGCTGCTGGTGGGCTTGAATGGTCGCTGCATTGTCGGCTTCTTGCTTGGCCTGAACAGCAGCAGCAGCAGCAGCAGCAGCAGCAGCAGCAGCAGCAGCAGCGTCCGCCTTGGCGCGCTCGGCCTGCAGCTTTGCTTCCTGTTTGGCCTTCAAATCGGCCTCCTCTTGCAGTCGCGCCTGTTCCGCAGCCACGCGCTGCTTTCGCACGGCAATCAACTGCTGAGCAGCCTGTTCCAATACGGAATGGCGGCTTCGACGCTGCTCGGCAAGCTGCAGCTCGATATCGTCGCTCAACCTGATGTCAGCAACAACAAACCCACACAATAAACACAATACTCGTAAGCAACTCCTCCAAATAAACAAAGACACAGCGCGCACTTCGAATGGACATACGCCGAGCTGCGCATGGCGGATATCTCGCGAACATGGTTAATCTGCCGCTCGCGCTCGGGCGAGAGAATGCTCGCGGGATTGGCGGGATTTTGGGCAGAAAGGGAACCCGTCGGCATGTCGACGCAGGCCTGGAGAAACTGCTCTTGCAGTTGCATTCGGGAGTGTGCTTGAATGTGCTGGATGACAATCTGGGCAGGATTTGGCCGGGTGGCTGGGAAGAGCTCTGCAAATTGAGCCTCGAGAGCAGACATGTTGGGCGTCGATGCTGCAGTCGCTTGGCCGGGCGAAGGATTGCTGCTTGGCAAGAGTCCGGAATGCAACTGGCGAGTGCTCTGGATGTCAAGGCTAGTAGATGCTGCCGACGGCGCAGAAGCACGATGATGTTGGTGATGATGATGATGCAGTTGGGTGGCTGCAGGAGCATCTGGGTGAGTGGCAACATACTCTTCGTCGTCTGTGTTGGTTGTCAGATCCAGCCGCAGCCCCAGATTCGTCGTATTCAATGCGCTCGAGGATGAAGCGGCGTCTGTCTCCAGATCTGGGACGCAAAACCGGCGTACGCTGGGAGAAGGCGCATCGCTGGCTCGAGTCATGGTTCGCTTGACGAGCAGCGGCGATGGCGATGAAATGATGGTGAATGCTTCCAAGGATTGGCTTGGACTTGCTAGAGCTGCTGGCGACGACGCGATGCCTCGACGCTCGACTGACAATACTCGTCTGCCGGTCGGAGTTGGCCTTGTGCTGCCAGTGGGTGTGCGTGCAATCCTTGTGGCAGACCCCGGCTGCTGCTGCTCGCCCTGCTCTGAGCCTGCGCTTTGACTCTGGCTCCGAATTGAGACGACTGCAGGACGCGGTGATGCGCCTCGAATGTCGCCCGCCACGCGTCCTTTGTCCTGAACATGCTCGTCGTCGTGGTCGTCGTGGTCGTCGTGGTCGTCGTGCAAGTCGAGCTCGAACGGGATGGCCTGCTCGGCCGCGCTCTTGATGGGTGTTATAGTTGACCTGGGAGACGTCCATGCAGGCTGCTGTCTCTGTGCCAGCATTGTCGGCGTGGCTGTCCTGGGGCTGTTGGACGGCGATCCCGTCACCGAGAGGGGGAGCGGCGGCAGGCTGGCAGCGATGGCTTCGCGATCCTCGCGGGTGATTGGCGTCCCACGGCGCGACAACAGCGGCGCAGGAGATGCACGTGTGAACGGCAGGCCACTACTCGCGCTCCCGGGTGGCAGGCGAGGCGACGCCGATCTGCTCGTCGGGGTTGGCGACGCGACTTCCATTGTGTGAAACTCGTTTCACGCTTCAGTTCCAGCAGCGCACAACGTTCCTGTGGGATGAGCAATAGAGGACTGTGCTTTTTGTTTGTGCTTGCATGCAAAGTCAAATCGTATTCAGTTAGTAAAATTGGAGGCCCACGATGTAAATTGGTAGATCTATGTATACAAGGCTGTTTTTTTTAAAAAGGTAGCATGAAACCCCCAAAATATGTCGTTCATATCCACCACCGTGTCCTACGTCGCTTTCCGCCGCTGGTGCTCTGATTGTGTGGTTTACACCATGCCATCAGTGTGCTCGAGGCTCGGGGGCGCAGCGGAAGTGCGTTGGGCGGCGGGGCGGAGCGAGAAAAGGAGCAGTTTGTGTCGCGATGTGATTTCTCAGCCAAGCTTTTCCCAGCCCTCAATCTGTGCCACTGCTACATTCTGTTGCGGGTTCATCTTGTCCAACAATAATCGGGCCGCAGTAGAGGGCGAGTAGCCCCAGCACGCTTGGTTAAAAAAAAAAAAAAAAACCAAACAAACAAAAAAACAAAACAAAAAACCAAAAACAACTCTTGCATGTCCAAACCGAGTGCTGAACTGTTTTATGCACTCTCTCAGCTTCCGGCTCCTCCTGCCCCTACCAGCCATTGTCCCGATCTCCGATCTAAAGAATTATTTGATGTGGTGTGGCAGCCCGCTGACACTGATCTGCTGCGACGAGGTTGCGTTGACCGTCACACCTTCTCGCGGCCGTACAGGCGCCGGCGAGACAGCAGCGTGTGGTCTGATGCACCGAGTGGCATGGACACATGGTCTACTCTCTCGGGAGGGGGTTGCAGGGCAGGGGAAAACAATTGCAGAGCTCAGCGACGCGATGGGAGTGAAAGACATGGCGATTCTACCTTTTTAAAAAAACAGATTTATAAATAATAATCCAAAAAACCAACCATAGAAAATCCAAAGTCAAACTCTCTTAATTCTTGCTGCCAATCCACTTCATTAAATGGAAAGACAAAGCAAGAAGAAGAAGAAGAAGAAGAAGAAGAAGAAGAAGAAGAAGACTTTTTTTTTTAAAGGATCATTCTTTTTTTTTTTTTTTTTGATCCAACCTTTTTTTTTTTTTTTTTTTTTTTTCAATAGAGATTTGCAGCGTGGTCGGGCAGCACGCTTTCTCTCTCTCTCTCTTTGGTCCACCGGTCCACTCCATCGCTCAGCCCCCCTCCCATCACCCCTCTGCCTTCAGTTCATCCATCACCACCACCACCACCACCCACCCACCTCGCGTCAATGTCAAGCGCTGCTGCTGCTCGTGCGGCTCAGCTCGCCGTGGTGAGGAAAACAGCGGCCGCGTGCAAGATCTCGAGATCTGCTTTTGCTGCTCCTTCCCGCTTCCTGTCGTCCAGCGCCACTGCCTTTGCCCGGAAGCGCCCGTCCGCCGCCGGTTTCGCAAAGCCCACTACTCCGAGTGCCTCGACCACTCCGGCTACCTCGACCACTCCGGGTGCATCTACTTTGACGTCGACTCGCACCAAGGCTGCCGCGGCTGCCGCCGCTGCTGCCGCTGCTGCTACCGAGTCAGTCATCGACCCCCAACAGCAGCGGGCCATCAAACGAGCGCTAGTAGATGTTGCTTTAGAGGCACGTTTCGACAAGCTGGCCAACTCCAACCCGCACAAGTTGACGTACGAGAATCGCATCCTAAACAATTGGCAACCCGGGACCGCCAAGGACACTTTGGATGCCGCGGCAACGTACAACCCCGCCAAGCCACACTCTCGCAAGCTTGCGCCAGCCATTGGCACAGTCCCGCAAGTCGGCCCCGCATTGCCAAAGCCCGTCAATCCCCTCACCGCCCAAGGCCTCACTCGCCTACAGCTCCTCGGAGCTCAGCTCAGGGGCGATCTGGTGGACGAGCCCCAACCACCAGTCCCCGCCCATGTTATCAAGCAGTTGCAACACCCCGATCTTGACGTGTCGCCGAGCAAAATTAGTCGCAAGAAGCAAATCGAGCAGGCGGTTGCCCGCGCCATGCCCGACGAGCTCCGCAGGAACATTGATCAGAAAAACCCCAAGGTCAAGGCGTTTATCAAGCAGACCACCGAAGAGCACGAAGGCTTCCAGTTTGACCGACTCGACAGCGCCACGGCCGCCGGCGAGAAGCTCCCTCACGGCGACCCAACCGTGACCAACAACCCCAGCGCCCTCATCATCGAGTCCTCCTTGTACAAGCAGACGTACGACCCGACGTTTTCCCAGCGCACTGGTGTCATTGCTACCAAGGTTGGCATGATGCACACCTGGAACCACTGGGGCCAGCGTCTCCCTCTCACTGTGCTGCAAATCTCGGACGCTGCCGTTCTCGACTTCCGTGTCCCCGAATCACACGGCTATACTGCTTTGCAGGTACGCACATCCAATCCCCTCTCTTGGTTTGACATTCACCCGGCTTCCCCGCCACCTTTCCGCCACCTTCTCTATTCCGATGAGGAAATATACTTACAAATGCTCTAGAATTAATCCGACATTCAGCCACGCGTGTTATGACGCATGGTTGCTGACGAGACGTATCCATCTGACGGAATTTTTTTTCCCTACTTTAACTTTTCTTTCCCTAATCTCCATATCGTCCTTTGTTCTCTTCTTTTCGACGTTGCTAACTTGTTTGAGTTTTTTTTGCTCCTTAGATTGCCGCTGGTGAGATCAAGCAACCTGCGAAACACGTCGAGGTGAGTTTGATTCGTTTGCTCTTGGCAAATGCCTTGTTTTTGAAGGGTTTTCTTTTTAATTTCCATTGGTGCTCACCTTGGTCATAACTCTTTTTTTTTTTGTTTTGAACAGGGTACTTTCCGAAGGGTTGGCCTCACTGCCCGAAAGCACATTCACGAATTCCGTGTGACTGCCAATGCTCTCATTCCACCGGGCACCCGTTTGTACGCTGCGCATTTCATTCCCGGCCAGCATGTGGACGTTCTTGCCAACACGTAAGCCGTTCTTCTCGCTGATGTTTTATTGCATGTCTAGTTCGTTTGCAAAGTACATCCATGCTAAAACCTTTGTTTTTCTTGGTTTTGTTTTCAACAGTAAGGGCCGAGGATTTGCAGGTGTCATGAAGCGCCACGGCATGAAGGGATCTCCCGCCTCTCACGGTCATTCATTGGTCCATCGCGCTATGGGCAGTTTCGGCGGTGGCGGTGTACGTTCTCTCTTGCACGACCTCTGGTTTTTTGATTGATTTCTTCAGTGTGACTGACGCTTTTTTTCTGGTTTTTCAATTCTTAGGGCATGGGCCGTGTTTATCCAGGCAAGCGCATGGCAGGTCATATGGGTACCATTCCTGCTATGCATCATAATCTGTTGGTGAGTATCTGTTTCGCCTCGCTTTGATGGAGTTTGATTTGTTCTCTGACAAAGTGTTTTTTTTTTTTGTTTTTTTTTGGGCACTTTTGTTGCAGGTTTATCGCATCAATACCAAGCATAATCTCGTCTATGTCAAGGGCAGTGTACCTGGCCCTCGCAAGGCGTTTGTTTATTTGCGCGATGCCGTTCGCGCACCAAACAAGCGATTGCTGCTTCCTTTCCCAACATACTATCCAAACCCTTTGAGGCCTCTTCCCGAGGAGATTACTTGCCCTCCGCCGAGCACTGAGGCGGGCAAGGTGTAAAAAAAAAACCCCATCCTCGTTTCGATCCTGCACAGTTTTGCAATTTTCTTGTACCATCAACAAACGCGTTTATCCAAACTCCTTTTCTTTCCGCTTGCATTTTTTTTCAAGATGTAATTCTTGTAGCACACGTGTAATAGTACCCGAAATAATGACCAAACAAAACTCCCGACGACAAGCAAACAAATTCCACCTCAGTGCTTTCGCGGGCGGCGACCATTCTGCTTGTTGCTTTGTTGCTTGCCAGCGTGGACGGGCTCTGCAGCAATTCGGACACGCTTGCCTGCGCTCTTTTCAGTGGCAGCGTCATCATCAGCGCGACGCTTGTCACGAGGTGCAGCTGCTGGGCCCGATTGGGTTTGTTTTTGCAGCGGACGACTGGGAACGGGCGCAAACTTGGCTTTGGCGTTCTTGGGAGGCAATTTGGCCGCAACCGCTTCCTCCTCGGATTCGTCTTTGTCTTCGTCGTCCTCTTGTTCGTCATCATCCTCTTCGGCGTCATCCTCGTCGTCATCCTCTTCCGGAGCGTCCTGGAAGTGCTCCTCCTCGCTGTCATCTTCCTCCTCATCGTCCTGATCGTCTTCCTGGTCTTCAGCATCGAGCTCATCCTCCTCGTTGTCAGATTCATCCTGATCGGCCTGCTCCAACGCAACGGCAGCGGCGTGCTCGATTTGCTGCTTGCGCTTTTCTTGCGCGCGAGCAATCGTCTCTGCCTCGGTGGCGCGAACTTTTGCGCGTGCTTTGGTCTTGCCGTCGGCGATGGCCTCGTGCAGCTGGCGCCTCTCATCGCGCTTGACTTGCTTATCGGCGGCAGCCGTTGTAGTCTTTTCTGCATGGGTGGCCGGGACGGTGGTGGCGAGGCAGGTTAGCCGGCCTCCCGTGTACTCTTGCACAAGGCAGTCCTTTGCCGTTTGGTGCACGTTCTTGGCTGCCGGATCCACGTTCCAGACCTTGATAAAGCAGTCAGAGCTGGCACTGACAAGGAGGACCGAAGTGGCGTTGCTCGGGTGGGGCAGCACGGTCAGCCCGCGGACACTGCAAAACAACACACCGATTTACCGATTGAGAGACATCAGAATCAGCAATTGAGACCGATGCATCAGAACAATACGTGTTTGCAACGCTCCTCCTCCGCTCCCCCGCCTCCTGACTGTGTTTTTTTCCCCTGCGTACCGGTTGCTGTGTCCCTTGATTGTTTGAAGAACCTTGCCATCCCGCAAAGAGAGGATGGAAATGGCATCCTCTTCGCCGCCGACTGCCAAATGGTCGTTATCAATAAAGCAAGCAGCGAGAATCCGACGCTTGCACTCAATTTTCAAAACTTGCTCGCCGTCCTGACGTTAGAGGTGGTTGTTGTTCAGTAAGCGAGCACTTTCCTCTGCGGCAACTCTTGGAGGCGACAACACTTTCCGACTCCAAACATACGAGGCAACGGGTCGCAATCGTAACTCACCTCCACGCGGTACAAAGCGACGGTCTTATTAGTGATCAACATGTACCGATCGCCATCGGGCGCCCACTTGACGAGATCAAACTCGGCCTTGAGATTGGTCACAAACGCGCAACGGCCCTTGAGCAAGTTCCAGGTCCGCATGTGCTTGTCTTTGGAGACAGTAAGAGCCAAAGCGCCTGTGGGATGAACTGCAATAGCGTTGATCGGGCCTCTGGAGGTAGGAAGGGGAGGAAGGAGGGGAGAACGAAAAGAGCGCAAGAAGTGAGTGGTGGGAAACAAACTCCATCAGCTCGAAAGGCAGCCCGAAAGCAAAATGCATACTGATGGCCCTTCATCATTCGCAGACACTCCCAATCCTTGGTACGCCAAATGCAGACAGCGCCGTCATCGCTGGCACTGAGCAGATGCGAGTCCTTGACAAACTCGAGTGCGGTGATAGATCCTACGTGAGGAGCTCTTCGATGAGTCACAAGTGATACGAGCAACAGAGTCAGAGCACTCGCCACATGACATTTTGCCAAACCTTCGTGCTTGATCATGAAGCCGAGTTCCTTCTTGCGATCAATGTCATACAATCTGTCGAGCGATCCCATTCACAAAAAGGGTCAGCGAAAACGCGACTCCCAGCATGCTCCAACAAGTCAACAACATACTTGATTGTTTCGTCAGTGCTGCCAGTGGCGAGCAGTCGGCCACCACCGAGCGCGACGGCTTTGATGCATCCAGTGTGCGCAGGGTAGACGTACTTGGCGACCAGTTGAAGCGCCTGTCAACCAGCCAAATCCAACACACAAAGTCAGAACCATCTTGGCCCGACTGGACATTCATCATGCTAATCGTTCAGCAGTTTGGGGGTCGGGTTGTGGTGTGTGTGTGTGTGTGTGTGTGTGTGTGTGTGTGTGTGTGTGTGTGTGTGTGTGTGTGTGTGTGTGTGTGTGTGTGTGTGTGTGTGTGTGTGTGTGTGTGTGTGTGTGTGTGTGTGTGTGTGTGTGTGTGTGTGCGGTGTGATGACACTAGTGAGCACCATGTGGAACACACGAGTTTGACGCGAAATCAAAGCGAGTCGCGCGCCAAAACCCAGAGCTTGTCGAGTGACTAAAAGCAGATCAGACATGAGCAGTGCCAGCTGCTGCTGATACTGAAAGAGGGGAGCGGAAGGGAGGAAGAAAGGGTGGAGTTCAAGCTTACAATGCCATCGAGCGACTTGAGGCTGACTGGTCCAGAGGGTGCTGAAGCGTTGCTGCTGCTGTTACTGCTGCTGCTGCTGCTGCTGCTGCTGGAGACACCAGGTGCCGAGAACGGAGTGTCGGCTGGGGCGACGAGCGAGACGGACGACGCGGGGACGGCAACGCAGTCAAAGCCGTACAGCGTGCGATCGTACGAGCCAGCGGCAATATGGAAGAGGGTCTGCTGCGACATGGATGGGTCCAAAAGCAAATACAAAACAGGGAATGAGCAAATTCAAGTGCTTACAAGGATGAGATGAGAATGGGGGCAGGTGACTGGGAAAGGTCTGAGAATCGCGGCCTGTTTTGCTTTGTGATTCAGTGAAAGCTTGCGATTGCGATCAAACCTCATCGCGTGCGTCTGCGTCAGTACTCGCGCAATACAAGACGAAAAGACGTGCAAACTATGGTGATCGAGTTCCAAAGCACTGCTGGGGTGACTGTTGCATTGAATCTCTCGCTGAACAAGCCGAGACAGAAACGAATCAACGCCCAAGCGAATCTACAATCTCAGTTCTTCAATTCTTCAATCCTTCAATTCTTCAATCCTTCAATTCTTCAATCCTTCATCAATCCTTCATCAATCCTTCATCAATCCTTCATCAATCCTTCAATTCTTCACATTTAAAATCTTCACTCATTTTTTTTTTCTTTTTGACACTTTTTTTTTTTTTTTGCTTTTCAGCTGTCTTGTTTTTTGTTTTTCGGTCGACCATTTTTCGAACAAGCAACGCACACTCAAGCAACAAAACAGCTCCAATCGACACGACACGAACATCCCCAACGCTCAACACTTTGCTTCATCGACAGCAGCACACACACACACACAAAAAGCGACAACACACAAAAAACACACCAAAAGCGACGAATCGCGAGTCGAGCATCACAAGCGACTCTTTCTGTTCCACTTTCAGACGCAGACACACTCGCACAGAGACACACGCAACCTCAACGTGGTGCTTGTGTGGTGTTGACGTCCGACAAACGCGGGAAGGCGAGGCGAGACGAGACGAGACGAGACGAGAGCGACAGAAAGAGGAGTAGTAGTCAAAAAAACACACAATGGAAGAGACTCGCTCGCGCGCTGGTCAGGCCAAGCAGCAATGCGAGGCTGCGCTGGACGAGGCCATCACGCAGCTGTCGACGGAGGTCGGCGAGGCACAGCTGGACGACCCCGACTTTATGGTGGCACTGACCACGCTGAACGAGCTGTCGCAGCGGGTGCTGGAGACGACACTTGACGCCTACACGCCAGACCTTGTCAAGCAGGTCTCCACCGCCATCCAGGACCTCAAGCGCTCGTGGAAGGCGTCCTGGGGCTTTGTCGACCGCATCACGAACGTCATGCTCAGCGTCAACCGGCTCACCCGCATCGTCACCCAGCTCATCGAGGCAAAAACTGCGCCGCCGGCACCAGCAGCAGCACCAGCAGCAGCAGCAGCTCCTCCAAAGCCCCAAGCCCAGCAGCCGCCAGTCATCATTGCGCCGTTGCTTCCTTCAACGCCAAGCACGACCGAGGTAACCACAACAGCACGTCACAAATCCATTCGTTGGCTTTTCTTTCTTTCACTTTGACCAGAGTGAGGATTTTCCCAACTGCTGCGTAGATTGATTTTTTTTTTTTTTTGAGTTTTGTAAGGAGTTTTCCATTGAGATTTTTTTTTTTTTTTTTTTTAGGATGTGTGTTTCATTTCCCCCTTTTGTTCTCCTTTGCGTTTGCGATCGTGCTCGATTTGCAGATGCATTCAGATTCGAGATTGCATTCGTCGATGCTTCAACTTAATCGCTTTCATCATCATCATCATCATCATCACTTGCTTTTCGAAACGATCTTTGCTTTGATTTTATTGACCAACAACACTCACAATGCGCGCTTTTTTTTTTTTGGTCTATGCATAGTTGAGCAAGCTGCCAACACTTCCAGTGGCAAAGGCGTTGACGTCAAGCCCTGCTCCTCAACTCACAAAGAATGCTCAAGGCGGAGCATCATTGCCACCAATCACCGTGGCCGCCGTGGGCGAGCAAACGTCAGTCATGTGCCGAATCTGCGAAAAGGAAATCCAAGCAGCTGTGATTGCCCAGCATTCGCCACAGTGTGCTCGACTGCACAAGTGCATCGAAACCCTCGAGTCGTGCGACGAAGAGCTCCTCACGATTCACAGCACGCTCGAGCGGAGCATGTACAATCTCTCGCACCAGGCTCCTTCTTCGGGCGCTGTCAGCACATCGGCACCTCGTTCGACCAAGGCAGAGATCGAAATGGTGGAACAGCTCCTCGGGTCGGTCAAGCAGCTGCTGGAGGTTGAAAGCAAGAAAGGGATTGACATTGACGAGGAAACGCAAATCATCCAGTCCAACATTAACCGTCTCCCAGACTTGAACAACTTTTTGGCCAAGCACAAGCGCGACCTCCTGAGCAACTGCGAGAAGCGCTCCGACGCCATCATCACCAAGGGCGAGGTGCTGCAGAAATACCACGCCATTCTCTACGCCTTCCCTTCCAACCCTTCCGGATCCTCGCCAGTGGCCGGTACTTCGACGAACGCCCGCGTAGGAGCACTGCCGAGCATCAAGGAGTTCAACTTTCTCAAAACCATCTCGCGAGGCTCGTTTGGACACGTGTACCTGGCCAAGAAGCGCGCAACCGGCGACTACTATGCCATCAAGGTGTTGAAAAAGATGGATCTCGTCCGCAAAAACCAAGTGGAATACGTGCGACATGAGCGTGACATCCTCTCCAAGCTCAACAGCCCGTTCATTATCAAGCTCTACTACTGCTTCCAGACGGTCGACTTTCTCTACATGGTCATGGAGTATGCGAACGGCGGCGACGTCTTCTCTTTGCTGCGCTCCGTCTCTTGCCTGGACGAGTCGTGGGCGCGATTTTACGTGGCCGAGTTGGTGTTGGCCCTGGAGCACATCCACGAAATGGGCATTGTTCACCGCGACATCAAGCCCGACAATTTGCTCATCAACCGCGATGGTCATATCAAGCTGGCTGATTTCGGTCTTGCTCGGCACGGGCTCGAGTCGTGCCATGCAAAGTCCGTGCTGGCCGCGCAAGCGCGGCAGCAGGCCAGGAACGGGCGCAAGGCAAGTGCTGAGCATGCAGATGGCGTCGTGGCCCACAAGCTTGGCCAGTCAGCGGCCACTTCTACCTCCAGCATGACTTCTCTCGGTTCGCCGGCAGCACTCTCTTCGAGTGGGCTTTCCCCGATTTCCTCGTCCTCGTCGTCATCGTCGGAGCTGAACGTTTTTGCCGTCAACCGCTCTGGAATGGTCGAATCCACCATCGAGGACGTGGGTAGGATGTTTGAACAGCCTGGATCAATGGCATCGGTGGCCATCGCCGCGGCCGCGCGCGCCGTTGCCGATCGCGGCAGCACCGCCATCCCGCGCAGTGCGCTCGAGTCTGTCATGCGTGCACATTCGATCGCCATTCCTGATGGGACCAAGGGCGATTCGGCCGTGGCTACTGCGCTGTTGGACGTGCGCTCTGCCGCAGCCAAGGCTGCAGCGCTTCACCCAGGTCCTGAGGGTGGCTCTGCTGGCGGGCTGCGCGACCGATTGTCTGTGCGACGAAGCATCTACCAAGAGCACATCTCGCGCGCCGCCCTGTTCAGCTATGTCGGCACGACCGACTATCTTGCACCAGAAGTCATCCTGGGCTCGGGCCACGACACGGCAGTCGATTGGTGGGCGCTGGGCGTGTGTCTGTTTGAGTTTATCGTGGGTGTCCCGCCATTCTACGAGCCAGTTCTCCAGGACACGTTTGAGAACATTCTCGAGCGCCGCATCGAGTGGCCATCCGAGCTGTCGCCCGAAGCACTCGATCTTGTCGACAAGCTGCTGCTCGTCAATGTGGACAATCGGCTGGGATCGAATGGCGCTGCCGAAATCAAGGCCCACCCCTTCTTCCATGGCATCGACTGGAACAACCTTGCCAAAGCCGAAGCCTCCTTCATTCCCCTTGTGCGCGACGCCGAGGACACGAACAACTTTGCTGGTGCACATGCCGGTGCGGTCGGCGGGTCTATGATTGGCGGAAAGCCAGTTGTTCTCGCACCTGCCGTGCCTTATGGGTTTGGCATGCAGCAAGACGACGAGCCGGAAGACGGCCTCGAGGAGCTGACCGAGTTGACTGCCAATCAGCAGACGCTTCTCTCAGACCCAGAGAACTTTGGCGGCTTTGCTTTCAAAAACCATTCGTTGCTTCAAACAGTCAACCAAGACCTGGTCGAGCAGCAAAAGGCTGTCCTTCCCACGACGTCCATTGCTGGCCCTCGCGCGGCCGCCGCAAAGCCTGCTGCTGCCAGTGAATCCGTGATCGAACGCGCTTTGACCGTCCTGGTTGCAGAAGATAATCCCGTCACGCAGCGCATTGTTGAAGCACTTCTCAAGACAATGGGCACAAACCCAGTCAAGGCGTTGGATGGCAAGATTGCAGTAGAAAAGGCCAAAGAGGTCAAATTTGACATTATTTTTATGGACATCATGATGCCCGTGATGGACGGTATCGAGGCTGCTCGAATTATTCGGTAGGGATTTCGATCTTCGGTCAATCAGCTTGTTTGCGTTTGGTCGGGGCGGGCGGGGTGTCAGACGGAGTGATTTCTTACGAAATTTGTTGTGCGGTGTGCCTTTTGTTTTTCTTTTTCTTTTGTTTTTCTTTTTCTGTTTCTGCAATTGCTAGTACGGAGGACAACCCCAACACCAAGACACCAATCATTGCTTTCACTGCCATGGGCGAATCCATTCAAGAATTCAGGTCGAAAGGGCTGGACGATTTGCTACCAAAACCGTTCACCAAGACAGAGCTCTTTGGGATGGTTCAAAAGTGGGGCAAGCCTTCCACCGCATGAGCACAAGTACCCCCCTGTCAGGTTATTTCGGCATTTGTTTTTGTCAACCGTATTTTTTGAGAGATCGTTTTTTTTTTTGGCTTTCCACTTTTTTTTTTTCTTGGGTTTGTTTTCTGTTCACAACAATATTAACACTATTGGATTCGCTTCTCGATCCGTCATTGCTGGAAGGCAACACTTCCCTATTGATTTGAATTCATTATGATTTGCATGCTGGTGTGATGGCACGCAGCGTGGCAATTTCACGTTTGAGATTGTCCCGAGCCAGCTTTTCGAGTTCGCCCTTGTAGTGCGCTGTGGTAAAGATCGCAGGCGTCTCGAGGAACTTTTCGAGGAGTTGCGGGCGCTTGTCGTTGTAGATTTGCAGCGGCACATGAATGTACTCTTGCCGAATCTGGCTTGCGTACTTGTCATATTCTAACACCAAAGTCCGTGTGAGAGCGTCGTCCAAATCAAAACCGCCATCCTCGAGGCCTTGGCCATACCTGCAGCAGGCCAAGATAGAACAGACATGTCAAAGTCCAAGAACTTGTGCAGATCCGAATGTCCCTGGACCCGCGACAAGTGCTCGGGAGTTGTGTGCAGCTTGGTTGCCAAAATCCATTCTGCCACTGCATCCACTTTGGCCAGTGGGAGATCCTAGATTGCAGCAAAAATCACCATTCATCAATAATGAGATACGTCGTTTTCCAAATGCCCAAATCACACACATGATGACATGGTGGGATGCGAAATACTCACTGGAAGGTGAACCGCGACCTGAGACCGGAAGAGCTCTGCGCTTTGCTCTTCGTTGTCGTTCCGTGTCGGATCGTAGACAATGTCATGATACACGACTGCCAGCGCTACGAGATCGCCGTCTTTGAGTTCATTCGCATTGACTGCGGCAGTTGTCTGGTCATCAGAATTGGTCATTCGAACACACAGAGTGAGTTTTGTTTTTAGGAACGAGGCTGGCACTCCCAAACCCATTCCCGCTCAGACTCTCTCGAATGATGCGTCGGACAAGCACCAAAGTAGCGTTGCAGCTCGGCACTGGACAAGAGCAAGGCAGGTGGGTGGTGGTGGAAGGGGTTCAGTCGCGTTTACCAGTCTGAGCAAGTCTTCAATATGGGTCAGTGTATGGTAAAATCGCTGAGGCTCAGTGTAACCCTGATGGACACGAGCCCAAAGCGCCTCGAGTGATACATTGCTGCCAAAGGTGGCTGGAAACTTGGCCGCGATGGACGAGAAGAGAAGAAACGCGCCTGACATCAGCCACCCAACGAAACGCTTGTTCTGAGCGAATGAGGACTGGCCATTTTTTTTGGTTGGAAATTTTGGGAATAGTTGAACAGCAACCAACAATCATGTTGAATAAAACATACATCGACACTTCCCATGCAATGCAACACAAGCACACAAAACCAAACACACAAAAACCGAACACGCAAAACCAAACACGAAACGAGGAGCACAAGGCAATCACACGCTAGTCGTGATGTGTCACAGAGACGCTGATCTCCGCATCCTCGTCAGGGAGAGTGTCGTACTTGTAAGCGACCTTCGACAGCTCGGACTCGCGATTTTCCGAACGCTCAAATGGCAGAGGGATGTCGACGATGACACGCGACTGGCCGCAGTTGCTGACATGCTCGTTCTCGATACGGAACAGGTTCCACATGCAACGACTACCCAAGAAGGCGAGGATGAGCGAGAACGCCAACAATGAAAGCCAAAGCCCAAACCCACCCCCCCATGAAACTTACCGCGCAACCTCCATAAACGCCAGGAATGACACGAAAATCTGCGACGACAGCACGCCTTCGAAGGCATGTTGGGGCGCGAGCGTGAACGTCCAAAACAGGCGAAGTACCAGATCGAAGAACATGGCGAGATAGTAAACCTAGGTCGGACATTGTTGTGAGTGACTGGCGAAACATCTGTTTGCCGAGCAGACAAGAAAAAAAAGCCGGTTCTTTGCACAAAAAAACACTTACAATCTTTGGGTGGAACGCAAGCTCCTTGCGCAGAAATCCGTGCGCGCGTTCGCCGAGGCTCCAATCCATCTTGATATCCCAAATGTACGAGTACATGGCACTAGCGACGGAGGCCAGCACCCACGTAGTGCGCCAGTCGGTCCAGGTGATTGTCGAGTCCTTTTCTGTTTTGCAGCGCAGTGAGATTCTCCCAGAGAACCAAAACAAAACAACAACAAGAACAAAAAACGAACATACCACGAATCGAACTGTCGACGGAGGAGAGAATGCTGACCAGCAATGTGACACCGTACTTTCCAGCATTTACAAGGTGCGGGTTGACCGCACGAGTGTCGTAGTAGCGACGAAGACATTGCATGCAACGCCAGAATGCCGGGAGCACAGAAATGAAAGGGCGAATACCAGAGGACACGTGCACGCAGTCAGTCGCTGTCATCGGCGGCACGTCCAGTGAGAGTCGAGGAAAGCATGACAAACCTCCCTCCAGAACAAATAAATTTTCGGAGCACAAAGTGCTTACAAGTGGTGGCCCCGGTAATGTAGTAACAGAACAAAAACTCCCAGTCGAGAAGAGCAGTCACTAGACTAATAAGCTGATCACCGAGCCAGAGATCCGCAAAGCGAACTTGGGTGAATGGCGAGAGAATAACACGGCCCTGCAGATGGAAAACCACAATGACGCAAAAGTAAGCAACATACCAACAGTTTGCAAAATGGAGTTCATTTGCCAGCAATGATCTTACAAATATCCTCAATGTCCAATAGCGGGCAGATCGCCGCAGGACGTTAAACGGATTCAACATGAACAGAACGTAAAACACGGCGAGAGCCAGCGGGTTGTACCGGCCTGGGATGAAGGTAATTGAGTCGGAAAACGTGTAGCACAGGAGACTGATGCACCAGGTGACTGTGAGGAATGCTGCCAGCTACAAAGTGTGTGTCGTCACCAACCAGAACCAGTGAGCGAATGTTCTTCAAAACGATGCCAGCGTTCTTCGACTTTCGTATTTGAAATGAATTTGGTACCTCCGCAATCTGCGCAAAGTTCAAGTGGTCGCGGGGGTTGAAATCGAAAATCAAGACAAAGTTGATTTTGCGTTTCTGGAAGACCCAAAAGTTACCAGCCACCAGCCAGAGCATAAAGATGGGCAGCATCATGCCTCGATACATGAGCCACATGGGGGTGAAATCTGCAAGAGCGGGGTTGCTGCTTCGAGCCGAGACTGTGTGCACACGAAAATAGTGTTGGCAGCGAAAAAAGGCAGACAAACCAACAACGACCAAGGGTTAACACAGGAGCAATCTCTCATCAAGGCAATCGCACACGACCGTCGTGGAACAAACCTGCGATGGCAACGAGGACGAGCAGCGGAAGACACATTCCCGTCCAAGAACCCAGACGAAATGCAGACGTGGGTCGCACTGTGGCTTTTCCGGCCAGGCGGAGCTCACCCATGGCTTGCTTGCGATTGCCACCAAACCTGATTGAAGAGTACATTTTCTGCAATTCAAGAACGTTTGTTAGTTCAACAAAGACGGGGGTGGTAGTGGACAAGCATCAGTTCTAAGGCCATACCTCGCACTCGAGCGTGAGCGGAATCAACGCATCTAGCAGCGTCATGAATGGCTCCTGCTTCAATTTCTCGAGACAGACGTCACGGGACTGCAAGCCAGTTATCTGCGGGCGTTCGAGCGGAAGGTTTGGGTCACAAGTCATTCAAGTTGATCAGCTGCTACAAATTTGCTCGTTTCCGCCAATGTTCAGAGCAGGATGCTCGTTTTCATCATACCTTGTCGTGCTTTTTCAAAATCTTGGAGCACGCAGTGTGGTTGAGCGTGTGGTATGCGCGGACGAGATCCAGGAAGCGATAGTACTCTCGGAATGCAGCGGCAAGCTGATCGCGCGCATACTTGTACTGGTTGGGAGGAGGACGCAAGGTGCGAAGCACTCGCTGACGCAGCGTGGGTGGGCCGTCATGGTTAATGGAGCCAGTGTCGGCGATGGCGCCGTAGCTGGCAGGCATTTTGGTCGAGGTCAGGCCAGTGCTGGTGGAGGGCATGCCTGCGGCAGTCGAGCGAGCGCGTTCGCTTCGCGGTACCCCGGGAGTTAGTGCAATCACAATGGGGCGATCGCGCTCCTCGCGTTCTTTCGCGGTGAACGCCTTGTAGTCGGCGTTCGGGTTGGGCAGGGTCTCGTCAACATCCCCAAGGGTCAAAGATGGTTCATTGCCTTCAGCTTGTGCAATAACGGTGGCAGCTGCCGCCAGAGTTTCCGAGTCCTCTGCGGACATGGCTGAGGGAATAACAGAGTGGATGGATTGCGAGCGCCCGCGGGGTTGTGCGACGGGTGCAGGGCGCGCCAAGCGGCGGTTGAGGATGTCCACCAGCGCACTGGCGGGCGCCGACGCCGGATGGGCCAGCTCTGGTCTGTGCGCGTCAAAGTCCAGTCGGAATGCCGAAATTGGCGTCGTGAGGTTTGCTGTGGTTGTTGGGTTGTTGCGCTCGACCGTCGCGGAATCTACAGCTGTGCTTTCCTCTGCCATCGTCTGGCGCAGCTCTTCAAGGAGATACACTTGATGACGCAGAGCCTTGTAGTTGGTAAGCGCCTCTCTGACCTTGTCGGTGAAGCAGCCATTCAGTTTGACAACCTCGTCATCGAACAGGCGCACAAACTCGGCCTCTGCAGCCAAAAACCTCGTCTGATCTGCCACAAGCTGCGCGTCATCCTCAACCGTGCTCAGCAGTCGAGTGGACGTGCTGTGCGACGAAAAATTGGCGGTTGCGCTCGCGACCTTCTTGAGTTGTTGTTTCAGTTGCTATTCAATCCAATCCCATGTAAGAAAAAGCTGTCAGTCAAAAACGCGGCACCAACCACACATCCAAGTGTTCAAAGCTGGATGTTCCGAGCCAGCCAGTAGGAGGACGGGGGGGGAGGTGGGAAGTTGATCGGGTGAACTCACCTTGTAATCCAGGTACTGGTGGTTCCATTCGCTCAGTGCCATGCGGCGAATGTGCTTGGAGAACTTCATGGCTACTAAATGACGGCTTGCGCGAGACGTATGAGATATCCGACTCTAATGTGTATGCTTGAAAGCTTTCCTCCTGAGAGTGACTGCGAGTTGAGCTCTGATCTTGGACTGAGAGTAGTCAGAGCGCGTGGCCTGGAGGCAGAACGGGAAGCGGCCAAAATCCGAGCCAAACAATTCCTGCCATAAGCGAGGTCACACACACACACACTCGCAGAGTGAGTTCATGGAATGAAGCAGGGACTGCAACGAGTCAGAGGGTTGGTTGTGCGTTGGTTGGTTGCGGGGGTGGAAGGGAGGGGAGGGGGCAATTGGGTTTCAAAAAGAGCGGTTTTTGCGTTTGGGTGATTTGCTCTGCCGCCCCGCTGGACGCATAGGCGGGAGACGAATGGCATAGACTGCGAGACATCCATCAACGTGGGGCTTGGGGGGAGGGGAGCGAGGGAGACGCGCGGGGTCGGCGGGGGAATTCGACTGCAACAAAAGCCATGCATTGCGATGTTTTTGCATTGGGATTTTGCATAGGGATTTGGTGGGTGGCTCACGAATGTTCCAGCCACTGGAAATAGACGAATGGACTGGACATGGATGCAATGGACAAACGAGCAAGGATGAACGTAGAACTACAATTGTACATGTATACTTGGAATCACTGGCAGAACCCCCCCCCCACACACACAAACAAACAAAGTTCTCATTGAGCCTTCTTCTCCAAGGCCTTGAACGGATCGAGTGCATCATCGGGCGCAAGGGTGCTGTTAATGGACGGTACGGCCGCCAGGTGGGCGGGAGAAATGTCCTCAGGTATCACACTAGGTGCACGGGATGGGAGCTCACTCGCTGGTTCGGACGGAGCAGGGTTTCGCAGTTTTGCGGCTTGGAGCGGGACCTCTTCCTCGTCTTGTTTCAGTGGACGGAAGGGCAATGGCACGTCGTGAATAACGCGGAACTGACCGCAATTATTGAGGTGCTCATTCTCCAAGCGGAAGATATTCCACATGCAGCGTCTGTCGAGAAAGGCAGCACAACGTCAAAACAACGGCACCCGAGTACAAAGAACAAATAGCAAGCACAACCAAGCAAAGAAAACCAGAAAAACAACCCAACGACAAAAAAAAAAAAAAAAAAAAAAACAAGAACAAACTTACCGCGAAACTTCCAAAAAGGCAAGAACGGACAAAAAGATTTGAGAACTCAAAAAGTTGCCGATATTCTGCTGCGGGGCGATGGTAAAAGTCCAGAGGAAACGGAGTGCCAAGTCGAGAACCATGGCAAAATAATAGACCTAAGAAATTGGGTTTTTTTGTCCCGAACGGAATGTTAGAATGAACCATTCTGCAACAAGCGGCTAAAAACGAAACATCGAGGCTTTACGAATTTGGGATAGTAGACCAGCTCCTTGCGCAAAAACTTGTACTTGCGTTCCGTGAGACCCCAATCCATCTTGATATCCCACGTGTAAGAGTAAACTGCGCTAATGCTGGCACAAATAACCCAGATGGTTCGGAAGGCGTTCCACGACGATCCAGGATGGGATTCTGCATTCGAGCGAAAGAGTTGCGGAATGTGTAAGGTGTGCCGTCCCAGAGACGAATTTTAAGAAGATTTCAAGATGCCACTCACCTCGATAGTACGCATCCAATGAAGAGAAGATGCCGACCATGATCGTGGCAGAGTATTTGCCAGCGTTCACCAAGTGAGGGAACTTGGCCTTCGTATCGCGGTAACGTCGAAGGCACTGCATGAGACGCCAGAAGGCCGGCAGACAGGTAATGACAGGACGGACGCCGTACGATACACTGACGCATCGAGATGCTGCAAAAAGCCAAAATAACCAACCCCGGAAGCATGAGAGACAACAACCGCCGATGATTTTCCAACAAGCAATTCGGCGGCGTGGACCTACAGGACGTCGCACTCGTGATGTAGTAGCAAAACAGAAACTCCCAGTCCAAAAGGGCGACGACCAAGCTAATGAGTTGATCTCCAAACCAGAAATCGGCAAATCGGACCTTTGTTAACGGTGATACGATAACTCGACCCTATTTTGGCAGCGGTTGTTTGTTGGTTGGTGAGCAATCAATCAAGAGCGGATTGAACAAGACCGAAGTGCGCTGCGTCTGAGACGTACAAATGTGCGAAGAGTCCAGTAGCGCGCCGAGCGACGGAAAATGGGGAAGGGATTGAACATGAAGAGAACGTAGAATGACGCAAGAGCCAAGGGATTCCACCGCGCCGGAATAAAACTAATCGAGTCCGAAAAGGTGTAACACAGGATGCTGACGCACCAAAACACTGACAGAAAGCCCGCAACCTGGATGCATCGTCAAGATGAGTTTCAAACAAGACGAGCAAGGGTTTGTTGAGCAACAAACAAACAATCAAGGTCAAACAAAACAAAACAACACAAAAGAAAAATAGAACTTACTTCGGCAACCTCTACAAAGTTTAAGTGATCCCGAACATTAAAGTCGAAAATAAAGGCATAGTTGATCTTCCGCTTTTGCCAAATCCATATATCGCCAGCCACCAGCCAAAGCATGTAAATGGGTAAAAGCATGCCACGGTACATGAGCCAAATCGACTGGAAGTCGTCCAAGGCGCCATCCGCGTATCGCGAGCTGACTGCAAAACGGCGCAGAAAGAAAACTTCCCATCGTGAGTACAAATCTGTGGCTGTAACACGCATGAATGGCAACGTTCTCTGACCAGCGATGATGACCAGAATGAATAAAGGAATGCACATGCCACCCAGAAGTCCGAGTCGAAAAGCAGACCCTGCCTGAACCTATGAGTTGAAAACAATGACAAGGGTCGTCAACAAAAACGAAGTCAGTGGCAATGGTGCTGCACAGTCAAAGAAAACTGCTTCGACAGCCAGCGTGCCCTACCGTTTCTTCATCGACAAGCCGGAGACGACGCATAGCAGCTCGACGATCGCCGTCACAGATGGCATCAGAATAGAGTTTCTGTTCAGCAAGATGGCAGAACCATTGAGCCTTGTTCTCACAACCAGCAAACGAGCAAGCTCGGAGAAACGCATTTGCGTTCATACCTCGCAGTCCTCCATCAAGCTGCTCAGCTTCTCTCGAAGCTTCATGAACGGCTCATTCTTGAGCTTGTCCATGCAAACCGCCAAAGTTCGGAAGCCCGTAGTCTAGAAGCGACAAAAAAAAAAAAAAAAAACGATCGTGAAACATCGCGAAATCAAAAGAAGCAATTTCGAGTTGGAGTGATTGCACGTCACTTCGTTGAGAGAAAATTTTACCTTGTCATGCTTTTTCAAGATTTTCGCGAGTGCAGTGTGATTAAGAATATGGTAATTGCGCAGAATGTCCAGAAAGCGGTAGTGCTCGGCAATAGCGGCGGAAAGTTTGCGAAGCGCCACCTTGTACCGATTGGGAGAGTGCAGCACAGTTGCTAGACCAAGTCGGTGCTGCTTGGCTTGAACCGAGGGTGGTGAAGGCTCCACGGCAAGTGCAGCCGCAGATGCAGATTGCCGGGCCTTGTCTATCGGACTGTGAGAAACAGCGCCAGTTGGGAGCGAGGCAGGGGCTTTGAGCGAAAGTTGCTTTGGAGATGAGTCGACGTTTGACACTGCCACACCAGCGGCAATTGGAAGAAATGCCGATGCAAGAGCACTCTTGACGGCCGGACGCTTGCTCGATTCGGTGCTGATTTGCCGTATGAATGCTTTGTCCTCCCGGATAGCTGCGGCCTGCGCACGCGCTTCTGGAGAGCGCGGCATGTAATCGCTGGTGCTGTGTAATGCGGCTGTGTCTTCCTCGGACGAGTCGTGCTTTTCTGGTTCACCCGTCGTTTCCATGTTGCTCGAAAGTCGGGCCGAGTTTGCGGCCACAATCTCTGGTGGCACGAGGGCTGTTTTGTATGAGGAAGGCCCTTCAGGGCGCGGTGGCTGAGGATGAGTGAGATGGTGGACATCGTCGTCTGCTTGATTGCTGAGGACTGCAGCCATGGCGCCCGCTGGCGATGTGTACGTCTCGGCAAGCGCTGCAAAAGTGGCGATCGCGTCGTGGTGACCTGCATGAGGCTCGTTGGCAGCGCGAAGCATCTCTCCACGACTAATACCGCGTGCCACTCCGGGGTGGGCATTCTTGGGCAGAATTGTCTCGGGTGCGTGGGCCAGCTGTGTGAGTTGCTTGGCTTGGTTCTGGAGCTCCTTCTGCTGGGTGATGGCTTCCTGCATCTTTTTGCTGAAAAAGGCGTTGACTTTGCCCACTTCAGCGTCAAACATTTGGACAAAGACGGCCTCTTGCTGGTAAAACTGTTCCGCGTCCTGATCTGGCTGCAAAGCTGGCTGGCTATCCGTGTCATCATCGTGCGGCTCTGCAATACATTCCGTGGAGAAGACGTTTGAGTTTGATGTGAGTTTCTGCTCGTGCGCGCACCGCAACCAAGCTCGTGGCACTTTACTCGGGGCAGCAGACTCGTCGCCCGACGAGTGCGGTGCAATGGTGGCGACCAATCCGATTCGCTTGAGCTGTTTCTTCATTTTCTGTGTTTGGGTGTGTGGGGGTGGGGGTGTGTGGGGTTGTGACATGGTTGACATGCAGAATGAGCAATGAATCCAAAAGCCCATCAACTCACCCTCAACCGCCGTAATGCAGGGGGGGGGGGAAGAGGGTTTGTGTTGCCTTGTGACTTACTCGGTATCCAACATACTGCGAGCTCCATTCGCCCAGCTTGGACTGGTCCAAGTACTTTGCGAACTTCATCGAGTTCGGTTGTTGGCTATGCTACAGCTCGTTTATGGCTGGCGTTTGTTGAACAAGACCAACGAAATCTGCAACCTAGAGAGAGGGATTCAAAATAGACACATAAGGTCAGTATGACAATGTCGAAACAGCTGCTTTTGCTCGTGGATGGCGAGTGAGTGAAGTGAAGCCGGCAGAGGATGCGGCCAACGCCATGTCTCATGGTGGGACTGTAGCAATGACAGAAGGAGCAGAGTTGAGAAGGGGGCCAATCCCCCCTTTGCTCATGCTCATGCTCATGCTTGTGCTATGGGAGGCGGCGGCGGCGGGGGGGGGGCAATGAGGACCACACACAGCAGACGGCTTCAGACTTGGAAGGCCTTTTCTTCTTCCCCTTTCCATTGGGCCAGCCACTTTCAGCCACTTTTTGTCTCAGTGCATCATGTGGTTTCTCAGTCAGATCGTTGCATGTTTTTTGCAACAATGAAAACAAGTCCACATGCTTCAAGCAATGAAAGTCCACAACAGTGTCACATTGGAAAAATAACTCAACTCTTACAGCGAACAAAACGACGAATGAGCTCGAATAAAGTGCTCGAATTCAGAGCAAATAGTAATAAGGGAATGTCGTGCTTCTTGATCCATTGCTTTGGGATACTGGAATGAGTGGAGTGAGTGAGTGAAGTGAGATGAGGATCAAGCAACGGTTGGTTTTGCCTTCCATTCAATTCATTCAATCCGCAGTTCTCTTCGTCCAATTCACTCACTCAATTCATTCAATTTCACTCTTTCTTTTACCTTTATCTTCATTTTTTTCCCTCTTCTTTTACTTCTCAGATGTCAACGCACAACAATTACAACGCGCTTGAAAATGTGAGTTCTTTCAATTCTGCCAAAAACAGCCACACAGCGTCGATAGCAGGAACGAGCCACAGACAGTCTGTGGTGTGATCAGATACCAAGCGAGAGAGAGGGAGAGGGAGAAAGAGAAGGAGGAGGAGAGGGAGGAGAGATGCGAACGGAAGCAGTAGCAGCAGCAGCAGTCACAAGGGTCATGAGAAGGGCAAATGGTCGGCCGACGGCTGAGCTTGCACACAACGAACTCGACGACGGCGCAGTCAAACAGCAGCCTCTCCCCCCTCGACGACTCACGACGGGGCTCACTCTCACCAAACCAATGAGCAATGGACGCAATTGAAGAAGGACGGAAGGACGTAAGGAAGGGAAAAGCCTCGCTCGGGCGAAGGTGGACAGAACAAATCAAGGGGTCGGCATTGCCGACATTGTCCGGCAGCCTCGAGGTTGGTGAAGGGAGAGGAGGGGGAGGGGGAGGGTGACGGTGCCCAAACACTCGACATACTGGCCTTGCATTCAATGCCACTCCTGGCGAGTCGTGTGGAAGCGAGTCGTTGGTGGGAACACAAAGTGGCTTGCGGTTGTACTTCAAAATTTTCATCCGCTTTTGCTCTCCTATCTCCTGCTTTGATCCCCTTGTGATGTGTTATGCACTGAATATGTGTTCAACTAACTCAAATCTCTGGCTTTTTTGGTCCATCCGAAACCAAACACAGACGCCAAGCGCAGTATCCATCCACCAACAGAACGGTGTCGGAGCGCACAAGGTCTACAAGCGACGCTGGCTGATGCTCACCGTTGTCTGCCTGCTCAATATCGTCAATGCGGCCCAATGGATTCAATATGCGCCGATTGCGGACACCGTCAAGCGCTACTATGACGTCTCGAGCACCTGGGTCAACATGCTTTCGCAAATATTCATGATCCTCTACATCCCGTTCGGCTTTATGGCGTCCTGGGCACTCGATACCCGTGGATTGCGCTACGCAGTACGTTGTTGCTTGTTTTGATTTGTTGCTTTGACTGTCGTCTTGTCTTTGTGCTCACGTCCTGTATTTTCCTCTCTTGTTTTTTTCCCCCTAATTTGCAGTGCGTTCTTGGAGCCGTGCTCAACGCAGTTGGCGCATTCATCAAGTACATGGCCAACTTTGTCGAAATTACTCCTTCCGCCGACCCCAACATCATGTTTGCTGTGGTCATGGTCGGCCAATTCTTTGCCGCTGCTGCCCAGCCGTTCATCCTGGGTGCTCCCACCATGCTGGCCGCCGTCTGGTTTAGCGACAGCGAGCGTGCCACTGCCAATATGCTTGCTTCCGTCGGTAAGGCAATGCAGAGCGTATGTCAGGGGAAACAACTTGTAGAGATTGATTTCAAAGTTTTGAGCTGACTTTTTTTTTTTTTTCTTTCGGGGTTTTGCTTGATAGCCAACCCGATCGGTATTGCTGCCGCGAACGTCCTCTCGCCCGCTATTGTTGATACCACCGAGCCCTGGACGATCAACACGATGGTACTGCATTCATGTCTTTGTCTTTGTTTGTTGTCGAAACAACAACTCACGTCCAAACCCGCCCCCCTCTCTCTCTCTGAAACAGCACTGGATGATGATGATCCCGGCCGGCATCGTTGCAGTCATCACGATCGTGCTCATGCGTGCCAAGCCCCCGACGCCCCCGAGCCTGTCCGCAGCTACCCCTTCCGATCCATTCTTTGTTGGCTTGAAGAAGGTTGCGACCAACAAGTCCTACCTGCTCCTGCTCGTCTCTTTCGGCGTGGGTCTTGGCATTTTCAACGCCCTGTCCACCTTGTTGGAGCAGATTGTTCATCCTCAAGGCTACACTGACGTGAGTTTGGGTTGACCGCAGGTGTTGCGTGAATTGTTATTTTCGCGGCTGTTTGATGTGTCTAACTTTCATCTCTCTCTCACTTTCTCGTGCTTCTACAATTTCGCCCACGCTGCAGGACGATGCTGGCATTTTTGGAGCTGCCCTCATCGGTGCGGGTCTGGTCGGCGCTGGAATCAGCGGTCCTCTGATTGACAAGACCAAGGCGTACCGGCCCGTTCTTCGTGGCTGCTTTATTCTTGCAACCGCATCGTTTGTGGGATTTGCGCTCTCTGCTCGCCCCGACGAGTACGTCCTGGTTGCCGTGACGTGCGGCTTGATTGGCTTCTTCTGCTTCCCGCTTCTCCCTACCTGCCTTGAGCTCGCCGTTGAGGTGACCTACCCTGTATCTGAGGGCACTAGCGCTTCTTTCATGTGGATGGCAGGGTAAGATTGGATTGTATTTTTTTTTGGAGTGATTGTGGTCAATTTTGCTGGGCTTTACGAGGAACGCGATTCTCATTTTTTGTTTTGGGCCTTTTGCAACAACCTCCACACACACATACAGTCAAGCGTTGGGTGTCGTGTTCATCTTTATCATGGACGCCATGCGGACGGGCGCCGAAGAAGACATGACAAACGCGCTCTGGTTTGCGGTCGGCGTCGTCGGTGCCACGCTCATCCCGGTCTTCCTGTTCAAGGGCGAGTATCGGCGGTTGAACATGGAGCGCGAGACCAAAGCCAACGCTTCCTCCGGCCTGAACGGCGATCTGCACATTTGAGTGTCCTGCAAAGCAGGAGGCTGAAGCATTTGAGTGCTCCTTTCGTTGAATTTACCGTTTTGTTGAATTTTTTTGGCTTGTATTGAATTGACGTTTTTTTTTTTTTTTTTTTTTTTGTTTGTTCTTGATCCCCCGGCCGCTCGTTGGTTTGTTTTGTTTGTCTGCCTTTTATGCACACAGTCATCACCGTTGCGCTCAGCAACAACCATGACGCTTTTCGGTATCAATCAATCGCTGAACGAAAGCCAAGTCGTTCACTTTTTTATTATGATTGGAATATATTTGTTGAGAGCCATTCTTTTTTTGGCTTTGCAATGCAGTCCCAGTGAGATTGTTCTGCAATGTCCAGCTCTTTTCGACAGGTACACCAAAGCAGGCGCGTTGTGCTTGAGGGTGATAGTGAAAGTGGGAGAGAGATAGAGATAGGGAGAGAGACCGAGAGTGAGCCCAACGGAGCAGCGGCGCACAGCGAGGGAGGTGCACGGTCTGGAGGTGGAAGCGACCAAGTTTTAACCATTAAAAGCTGGAACCGCTTTTTTTCAAAATGCACATGTTGTGTTTTTTGGCGCAGATGGAGCATTGGAGCAGAGAAGCTGCCCCGCATGCCAAGGAGGACAAGAGCGTGGATGGAGCATCGCAGGGACGGGGGATTGGTCGTTCGAAAGAAGCTGCCAAAGCGAGAGAGTGAGTGAGTGAAAATGGGGCGGGAAATGGCTGCGAACGAACTTCGCCCACTCAAATTGTTCGGATTTTATTGTTTTATTTTTATTTGTTCTCTTTCCCGCGCTCTCAAAGTGGGCGGTCCTTTCCCCCCCACCCCCGCCTCCCGTTTTTGTATCTCTCATTCACAAACTCGCTCTCTTTTGCTCTTCGTCGCGATCGTCGCTTGTCTTTGCTTTGATCAACAAAGCGATCGATTTGGCGTTCTTTTTTTTTTTTCTTTCCTTCTGTGCAAAAGATAATAAAATAATAAAAAAAAATCATAAAACTCGTGCAACTTTTAAAAACTGACTCCTTTGAATTTTTATTGAACACATAAAAAAAGCGTCGTTTTTCATTGCTTTTTTTTTTTGCTTCTTCTTTTTCGCTCTTCGCGTTCCATTCAACACAAAAAAAAAGACCATCTGTTGAGTGTTGCGCGAAGCAACGCAAAAGCAAGCGACAGTGTGTGCACTTTGGCACTTGGAACGTGGAACTTTGAACTTTGAACTTTGGCTGGTTGCCCAAATTCGGGTTGATTCCCGCTCGATGTGCCCCCTCCACCTCCCTCGCCCTGACTCTCTCTCCACATTCCCCATCAATCATTCTCTCCATCAATCATATTCAACTCGATCATTCACTCTCTCTCATTCACTCTCTTCATTCGAACAACCCTTTTTTTTTTCGCCTTTCTCGCGGTTTTTTTTTTTTGTTTTTTGAATGAACAATTTCCATGCGGTCCAAGCAGCGGCCGCAGTCGCGCCACCCAGCGTGCCCGAGCTGGTAAACCTCATCCTACAAACACTTTCCCTCCTTCTCGCTATGCAGCGAAAGAACTAGAAGCTCGTCGTCATTGAAAACTCACCACAATTTTTTTCCCCGCTCGCTTCGCTTGCGTTGCTTGTCTTCGTAGTTGGTCCATACGACCGAGCGCATATTCACAGGGCACAAGAAGACAGTCACCTGCATAGACATTCTCGACGATGTGCTGTTCACGGGCTCGGCGGACGGCAAGGCACGCGCGTTTGACATTCGCACGGGCGCCCTCAAGCACACGTTCGCTGCCAACGGCCATTCCTCCGCAATCACATGTCTGGCGCTCGTAAGACATCCAGGGTTTGTCTTGAACCCACTCGCCGGGGGGACAACCACGCCGGCAGCGGCGGGCTCCACCTCCACCTCGTCATCTCAACCAGCGACCACTAGCTCCACCACAACATTTACCAGCTCATCCTCACCAACAATAACAACAGCAACAACAACAACAACAGCAACACCGAGCGCTGCCGCGAGCTCGAGTGCAGCTCCTACAACCTCCAGCTCAAAGGCACCAGCTCACTCATCATCCGCACCTGCATCCGGGTTGCCCGACTTTGCACCAACAGACACTACTACTACTACTGCTACTGCTGCTGCTATTGCTGCAGCGGCGTCGCCCGAAACAGCTCCACCACTCTTCCTCTTCACGGCAGGCAACGACAAAACCGTTCGGGTTTGGAACGCGACAACAGGTCAGTGCTTGCGTGTGTTTCGAAAAGCCCACAGCGGCTACATTTACTGCCTCTGCGTCGACGTGGATCGAGGGCGCATGTACACTGGCGCAGGAGACCACCTCATTGTCGAGTGGAACTTGCTCGACGAAAGCAAATGGCGCGTGTTCAAGGGACATACAGACTGGGTGCGCGACGTGAAGGTGCCCATGGGAACCCGCACCCTGTTCAGTGCCTCCAACGATGGCACCATTCGGCGCTGGAACCTGGAAACCGCCGTGCCAGACGCCACCATCTGGTGCGAAGCGTCTCGTGCCTTTTGCCTGTGCTTTGGCGACGATCGCCTGTTTGCTGGCATGTCCGACAAGCTGGGTCGCTGCCTCGACCCTCGCACGGGTGGCCTGTTCCAGCAGTATGTCGGTCACAAAGGCCCCTTGCTGTGCCTCGACGTATCCGGTGGGATTGTCGTCACCGGCTCGGGCGACAAGAGCGTCCGCTGCTGGGACGCCGTCACGGGCGTTTGCTACTCTGCCTATGTCGGGCACTCTGACTGGGTGCGCTGTGTCAAAATCTATGGCAATTTGATCTTCTCTGCAAGCGACGATTGCACCGTCCGCTGTTGGGCGCTCAGCTCGACCGACATGGACAGCGCGTTTGGCGGCAGCACCCTGCACGACCAAGACACGCTTTCGTTGCGTTCGCGATTCTCTCACACAGAGCCCGCCGGCTTCCAACGGCGAATTGGAGCGTCCTTTCACAGCTCGCCCGGCCACTTCAATGATGGAGCAACAAGCATCCATCGCATGCACAATTACGATGGCGTCTCGCTGCATTCCGCAGCATCCCTCACAAGCGGGCTGGCGCCCGTGTCGTCTGGTCCCGTCATTGACGCCATCACTCATAACAACGCAATGGAAGCAATGCGCAAGCGCCAGCTCGAGCTGGAGGCGACTGTCGCGCAGCAGACGTCTCTCATCGCGTCGTTGGAGCGGCGGCTCGAGACTGCGATCGCTGAAAAGCACACACTCGAGAGAACGCTTGAGTGCGCCTCAGCCTCGCATTCCGAGCGACTTTTCGCGGCGGTCGACGCTTGTGCCAGCGCGCCTCGCCAGTCCGACGCAGCTGCTTCCGGCGATGCATTCCGACACTTGGCCGACATCCGACAGTCGGTTCATCATCTGGAACAAGCACTGACCGCCCGCCACCACGCAACCGCCACTCCGACCTCGGAACCGCGAGACTCGGCTCCGGGCTCCTGTGCTGCATCCTTGCACGAGACATCGACTTGAAGTTGCCTACACCTGTTATTAGCTGCTTTGTTTTTTCGTCTGTTACTTTTTTTCTCCCGCCCTCTCCTCACTCCGCATAACATTACCTCATCCTTATTCTTAACACCCTCATCAGACCTATTTTTTGTTTTGTTTATTCAGACTGTGTTGCTGCGCAATATGCCTTTTTTTTGGTGGTGGTTGTATCGTTCGACTGTTGTTGATATTAATGCAGAAACAACCATCGTATCCAAAACGTACAACAATCGACAGCGGCGAGAATCCGCATCTTTCAACCACCGGTGTGGCAAGCGGGGGGGGGGGGCGCGGGAAGACAGAAACAGAGCAATAGACGCACCCTGAAAAGCGAGATGGATTCAATTGTTGTATGTACTGTTTTTTTTTTTTTTTTGGGGGGGTGTGATATTTCAAAAACATGCGACTCCTATCAACAAAACAAATTCAACAGGAATGCAGGGCGCTTTGACACACCACAGCCTTTTGTGACCACAGCTTTTTTTGGTTTTCTGGGTGGATTGGCTTCCAAAACTGTCAAAGCCCTTTAGCGGCGACGCTTCGTTGCAACAACCACAGCAATCGTCGCAAATGCCACAGTCAACGCCGCGATGCCCCACCAGATCTTGGGGATGGACGCGGCGCTTCCTTCGCCGCTGCGAAACCTCTTCACATGTGGGCTATCAATGGGCACGGCCGAGCGCTTGCGCGAGGCATCGTGCTGGTTCTGGGCAGCAGCAGCAGTGGCGGCAGCAGCTTCGGCAGCTTCAGCAGCAGCCTTGGCAGCGGCGGCAGCAGCCTCGGCAAGCTCATCTTCCTCAGCAAACTTGATCTCGAGCTCACGCACGCCTTTGGTGACGGCAGTGTAGCAGAATTCGAGCTGATCGGCCGTTTGGACCAGCGTGGTGCGTTGCAGACGCGCCTCGCGAATGATGGTCAGAATCTCAATGTCGGTGGCACCACGCTTGCGCTCGAAAAGCTCTAGACAAACGTCAATCACCAAGAAAGTGCCAGTGCGGCCAATACCGGCGCTATTAAAGCAAGCAACAACCAGACAAGGTGCCATCGCAAGCGTTGAGTGAGCCCGAGATCAAAGAATCGCAATGTCTGTAAATCCAAGCAAAAAAGACAATAAAAACACATACCTGCAGTGAATTAGGATGGGCATTTCGGGTGCCAGTCGCTGGGCCGACAAACGAACTCGTCGCAAATAGTCGAGCACATGGTCTGCCGACTTGGGCACACCATGGTCGGGCCACGCGACAAAGTGATGGTGGACAATCTCTCGGGAAGCACCCGTCTACGGGAAGTTGGAGGTAGTAGTGTGAAGGTGAGTTGAGGGCGGCATCAGCAAGTCCAAAACCCCCCATCACGGCAGAATATCATACCAGTTCGTTATGGACACTCAGAGTGCGCGTCACGTCCGACTGTGACTCGGAAGTCTCGATGGCCACGAGCTTGATGTGGTACGGACCAACAACCAGCGTTTCGTCAACCGTGCTCGGGTAGTAGCAGTGGCATTTCGGGGCGCCCTTCTCGACGAGGTTGGAGGTCATGACAACGACTTGCACGCCCTGCTGCCAGATCATGTGCCAGAAATCAATCTGGGTGGATGCAGTGGGGCCCTGGGCGGCAATGTAATGGCGGTTGACTTGCGGGAACTGACGAGACAGAGTGTTGTGAGCGAGGCTGCCACCAAAAACAAATCGCAGTAAAACTGCAAGAAACGGACGGCACAAACAAACCTTGATATGGTTGGCGTTGATATAATCCGTGTTGTTGTCACCGGTCTCACGCTCAATCTTAACGCGAGTCAGATCGACTGTGGCAGACGCACAACAACAAGAAGAAGATCAACTCAGAAACAACAAAAGTTGGTTGGTAAAGACGCAGCAAAAGCTTTGGCTTACAGGGCAGGACGTCCGAGTAGCGGTTTTTGCCATTGTTCGCACGATCGCGCGCTGCATTGAACGTGTGATGCGAAGCACTGCTACGCGTTGACTGGGTGAGCTCCTGCGAGAACGAAACAGAGATCCATTGATTCAATCCTTTCGAAAGTGAGCGAATGCGGCCCAAGTTCGAGGAGCACACGACAAAATGAGCGACTTTGTCAAGCAAGCACTCGAAAATCCACGCATTGGCGACAGACGGAGCGCGTGCGAGAGAGTCAACGTATACAGCAAATGGTGCCTTTTGCTCAGAAGCATGGCGCTTCCATTGGTTCGACCACCCGCCCCCTCCCTCTTCCCCCCTCTTCGCCTCTTCCGCATCGGACGAAAAGAAAACAGCAGAAACATAGTGAGGAAGTAGCCCGTCGGAGGCGGGGGGGGGTGCCTCGGATTCGAGATTGGGAGAGGTCAAAGAAGAGCAATGGAAAACGATGATACAGCCAAAGCAGAGCGAGAGATCCAAGTGAAGCGAGAAACCGTACGCGGAAGGTCTCCTCGAGGCCGTTGTCGAGGATGTCTTCGAGGGCAAGCTCGAGCATCTGCGAGACACGGCGCGGCGCAGGCTCAGCAGCGGCAGCAGCAGCAGCGGACGACGACGACGACGACGAAGAGGCGTCCTTCCCAGTCGCACCGGCAGCAGACGCATCGGCGGCAGCGACGGTGGGGCTCTCAACAGCAGCAGCGTCTGATGAGGGCGTGAGCGTGAAACTCGCGCGCTTGTTGCTGGAAGTGGTGGACATGATGGGGGGGGGGGAAACAAAAGACTGAGTTGCTTAGAAGTTAAGTTCAAATACGAAGGCAAACTAGCAACAACAGCAACAACAACAACAGAAGTTGACTTTAATCGGTGGAAAATTGATCAAAACAACAGTGTGCAAAGTGACGGGGTGGAGGAAAGTCGGAGGCAGAGTGCAAGGAGCATCTCGAACGGACAGGAAACTCAGGAGGCAGAGGGAAGCTTCATGAACACGAGAATTTCGCGGTCGCGGGTGGTGAACACTGGATTAGCAGTACCTGAGTAGTAAAAGAAATCGTGGCAATCTTTGGAACGGCGCCAATGTTCCCCAGCAATGTCACTGCCGTCCCAGACGTGGTCCCGAACCCATACGAGTGGAATAAACACAATCTTGTCCCAAGCCTCTGCTGGCAAGTCCTGAAACCAGTCCAGCCAATCGCTTGCAGTCAGGTAGTTGCCTACCAGATTGACAAACCTCACGCTAGGCAGCATCACAAACCTGCGAATCTGCTCGACAACAGTCTTGCGAGGATTGTTCGTCAGATCTGCACGCTCTGCCGCCGCACCAAATCGATTGAAGCTCAGGTTGATCACATTGCACTGGAGATGTTGGACGATGGGAGCAATGAACTCGAGATCTTCGTCAGGCAGTTCGTTCGTGGACAAGTCGAGAGTTACGACTTCGCCAGAATCCAACTGCTTGAGTTGTAAGAACTCGAGAAGCTTGTCGACGTTGACAAGGGCATTGCTTTCGCGAAGGTGTTTCGCATACGACGGATTGACCCGACCACTGGACAAATTCAGGACGCCGTCCACCACGTCCGAGCCGGAGGGGAAAGCCTTCCGAGCTTGCATGCTGTTTTGAGGAGGAAGGAACGGCGCGCCATACGAAGCATAGGGCTGGAAGAAGGGAAAATAGCCAGTAGGGCCAGGGGGTGGGAGGAAGGGAAAATAGCCAGCAGGCCAAGAGGGCTGCGACCTGCCAGGCTGGTAGGGAGCATAGCCTGGCTGAGGCTCATAGGGCTGAGGAAACACGCCCATGCCAGTTGCACCAAACGACGTAGCCATGCTCGCGCCAGCTGAGTTCGGCGGTATCAGCTCGTTGCTCAAGACTTGCGCATCCAAACGCGCGGCTTGGTCGTCTTCGCCTCCAATTTTGTCAATCGAACTCGTCAGAAGTGCAACAAGTCTGTCATACGAGAACCGACAGACCTGCTGAAGCGACATCGCTCGAACCGGGTGATTGTCCGAGATTGCCGCGTTGATGTGTCTGTACTTCGGAAGGAGATCTCCGATAGAACTCATTTTGAAGCGTCTCCTGTTTCGTGTTGTTGTCAGCTTCTTTTAACCCCAGACTTGCGGTTTGCAAAACAAAGCCTCTTATTCAGTGCAATGAACAATGGTTTTGTGCGTTCAATGTATCACGAACTCTCCCTTCGGAGTCGAATCTTTGTTAACGGATGACTATATTTGTTTGTTTGTTTTCGTCCAAGCACAGTAGTGACAAATGATAGCTATTTCACGCTACAGCTGTAGAATGAGCACATGAGGCGCTACCGTGGATCTCAGGGCTTTTCGTACAGGTCGTTGATGACTGAAGCAATATCTAGCAAGAATCGAAAAACAAACAAACGAACAAAACAAAAACCAAGCCAACACGAAAGGAAATGAGCAAGCATAAAATCTCATCCTGTTTTTCTTCTCCTCTTTCGTTTCCTCTTCACGCGCACTTTCCTCTACCTTCGCCGCTTACCCCCCCCCCCCGCGAGCCACCCGCCTCCTTCCAAAACCAGAGCGAGGAATCACAAGTCAACAACACGCAAACACTTACATTGAATCAACTCTAGCGAGGGGGAAAGGTCGGCGTCGAGCAGCTTCCACCATGGCTCGCCGTTTGAGCCATTCGGCAGTTCTGCACGCTGTGTGACCGCTGCGAGGTGCATGGCGGCTACCGCAATGAGTACGGGCTTGTAGCGGAGACACAGAGTGGTTCGCAAGCTGTCGTTGACGTAGTTCCAGACTAATTGTGCAAACGCTCCCTGACGTTTGAGCTTCTTGCAAAATTTCATCACGAACGGGTATGGATGCTCGACGGCGAGTTCGAACGCGATGGCCTGCAGCAGGATGCGCTCGTTGACGAGCATCTCTTCCTTGGCCTGGTAGTACTCGCGCGAGTCCCTGCCGAGCCGCTTGACGCCCTGTTCCGCCGAGACCACGCCGCCCGACTGCTTGATCTGCTCTGCCAGTTGCTGCGTCTGGCGGAAGACGTGCGCGCGGTCGAGAATGTCGTAGCACTTGCGATGCGACTCCTCGACCTTGCCGGCCAGCAGCAAACAGGTGCACGCCATCTTGCTCGCCTCAAAGTCCTTGAACGACTGGCACATGAAGAACCGATGGAAGAAGACAATGCCCGTCGCGATGGCCTGCTGCGACATTGGCCGCTGCTGGTGCTGCCCAATCTCCTTGATCAATGCAACGCCTTCCAGTCGGTAGCGCATCTCGGTCTCGGCGCTGATGCCGTCCTCGCGCGACGGGGTCTTGTCAAGCTCCTTAATTTACAAAACAAACACAAGCAAGGCCCCCCCCCCCACGACAAGCGAGAGTTAAGCTCCGAGTGGCTGCAGCATGGCTCAGCGACTCTCGCTCGCTCCGCTGATCATCCATTGAACCATGGAGACTCAAAGCTTCGTCGTACCTCGTCAGAGTAGTACCAGCGGGCGCCACTATCGCGGCTGTCGGCCGTGTCGAGGCTCGCAGGGTGCTGCACTTGCCCCGTCGGCGTCATCATTGGCGACGAGAAGGAAGTGGTCGCAGCCATCGTGTGTGTGTAAGTAATGCGTATTAGAAGTGGAGTGACATTGTTGGATTGGGGAATTGTTTTTGGAGAAATAGGTGGGGGTATTGTTGGTGTGTGTGTTGACATGCTGTGTGCAGAGTGGACGAAAGCGTTCGCGTCGTTCATGAACGGTGAACAGAGTCGATCGTGACACACCACCACCATTGACAGAACGAAACAAACACACACACACCAAACGCGCACTTGCAAAAACGCAAGCGCACAATACATCAAAATCCTTGTAACGTTGGAAAATTACGCGACAAACGCTTCGGCCGGTATTTGGTTTGCGGCCTGTCGTCGCATCGAGATGAGCAATAACAACAACAACAACAGCAGCAGCAACAACAACAACAGGTAAGCTTCATGGGCTTGATTGAGAAAGCAGATACGCGCCTTTCACCACAACACAGAACGAAACATACCTGCAACTGCAAAAACAACGACAGGGCAGAGTTGTAGTCGCCGTTGCACTGAGTAATGAGTTGGGTAGATGCAGTCATGTTGAGACCCGAGGCCTGCGACAGCTGTTGAGCAAAGGCCTATCAAACAACAAAAACACGCAAAGTCGTCAGCTGGGCAGTTGCATTCGAGTTGCTGCTCGTTAGACCAGCTGCGCAAATACACACCAAAGCACTGGCGTCTTGCGCAGCTGCAGACTGAACTTGATCGTGTGCGGGGGCATCGGCAATGAACGACGTATCGCCAATACTGGCAGGCAGGCTCGCCATGTTGCCGCTTCGTGTGAGGTAGTTGGTCAGCTGCCACTGGTCGTTCATGATGCATCCTGCCCATCCATCCGCAGCGGAGCTGTGGCAAGAGCGAGTACCAAAAAGACCAAGGACACGAGAGTGAGAGACGAGCGCGCGCACAGAGTCGAAGCGAAAGCGTTTCAGTCAACAAGCATACTCGGATGCCGGATCGGTCGCAGTCACGGTCATTGTGCGGCTAAAGACACGATGGTCGTTGTTATGGGCCCCTATGAGCAGCAGTGGTAGTGAGCAAGGTGTTTGAAAAAACAAGCAAATAAAAACAAACAAAAAACAAAACAAAACAAACAAACAAAAAAAAAAAAAAAACCCGCCCGCATGTACTCCAAAATCCACACTCACCATCAAGCAATTCGCCACTCAGTTGAATGATAATAACAGCAGGCTGTCATCAAGTAGCAAACAGCTGTAAGAACAATTTTATGCAGAACAAACCAACCGCTCCAATCCTCAACTCTTCCCCCCCCTCCCCTCCCGTCCCCCGCCGCCGCCGGCGCCGCCGCCTTACTGAAATAGACCAAGAATCCACAACAAGAGTCTCGGGTAAGAAATCAAACGGAAGCTGAGACAGAAAGGCAACAATGTTGGCTCGCCCGACATTGAGCAAGGCCTGCCGTCGGTTTGGCTCGTGCACAAAGCTCAGGTTTCGGCTGTGCTCACGATAGGCATGCACCGGAGGACCGACCGCTGGCTGGGCACCTTGGAACACGGCATCGGGATGTGGGCGATTTCCGCGCTGCGCTTGAGGGGCCACGCCTTGCACAAGTCCACTGGCAGCCGAGTAGGAGAGCAGGGCATCGGCGGAGTATGCACATGTCAGCAACTGGCGCTGAGACCGGTCGGGGGCGTTGAATAGGTCCACAAAGGCTTGCAGAAACGGCATGACAAACTCCCGCAAGTTGGACGACTCAAAGTAGCTGCCTTGGTTGAGGGGAAGACTCGAGGCGTACACGCTCCCTGGACTGACGGAAAGGGGAACTCCATCAAGCTCGACGAGATTGGGGAATAGCGTTAACAACTGCGCTTCGTACGCCATTTGGTCATCAACGAATTGCGAGAAGGGGTTGCCGGCCAGCCCCAAGCTGCGGAGCTGGGACCAGCCAACGAATGCCTCCAGGTCGCCAATGTCTTGGATGTTGTTGTTGACCAATGAAACGACCTGAACGTTTGGCGCAGCTTCAGTGAGCGCGCCGTACGCTGCCGTGGCGCGAATGTTGTTGTCGCTGAGTGACAGAGCGGTGATTTGAGGGCAGTTGCCGGCCACCAGCTGAACGATCGAATTGACCAATGGAACATAGTTGGCGCTCTGGAATCCCGCAGAAGAGAGGGCCGAGAGATCAAGGAAGAGCTGGCTCGGGTTGAATCGCTGGGACATGAGCTGCAACAGCTGCTGCTGCTCAGCCTCGCCCATGCCTTGACCATGCTCGTTGCCAGCAGCTGATGCACCATGGCGCGCGCCTCCCCGGAAGCCCGCCGCCGAGCCTGTACCGTCGGTCATGGCGTTGTCAGCGTCGTCTCCGAAAATGACAAAGATCTGGCGTCCATTAAACCGCATTGTCGCCGCAACACGGCGGAGGCCTCGAGCAACCGCAAACGTTGGCACAAAGAACTCGACGTTGCCACCTCGCGGCCTGAAGCGATCGTACACAAACTGCTCTGCAGCATTGTTACGGAAGAAGTTCATGAGTGGGGCCTCGCTCGCGTTGCCGACGCCGCTGACAACGACGCGAACGCCGCCACCGCCGCCAGCATTCGCATGAGCATTGGCACCACCGTCAGACGGAGCGCGGGACTGCTGCTGGTAGCCACCACGGCCTCCTCGCCAGCTGCCGCCGCCGCCGCCGCCTTGATCGCCTCCTGCTCCTGCTCCTCCTCGTTGGTAGCCGCCTCGACCCGCCTGGCCACCGCCACGCCAGTTGTCGTTCATGTTGCGAGCACCGTTGCCGCCGGCCTGGGACGGATCGTGTCCGTAGCTGCGCGTGAAGCGACCGCCGGGCATCCCAGGACCAGCACCAGCAGCAGCAGCTTGGCCTGCATTGCCGCCCGCGTCCATTGCGACATTGCTATAGTCTCTATCAACAGAGCAAAAAAGCAAGCGCAATGAGCGAGATGCAATTGCCGAGTGAGTTCCGCGCGAGTGAGTGGGGGAAGACGATAAAATGACAATGATGGGTCTGAGAGGCTCAGAGTCCTGCACTGTCTGAGCGGCTCAGAGCCCCTGTCTGAGCGGCTGATCTGTATGTGAAGATTGCGTTTACCCTCGACCACGACCTCGACCGCGACCGCGACCGCCTGTCAAACTCATTTGGTGCAGAATTCGAATGGAAGCGAGGAGTGAGCCTCCGCTAAAATAGATGCACAGTGAATCGAATGAATACAATATGTCGAGGTGCCGCTTTATGAGGGAACAAACTACATCAAAAAACAACAACAACATCACATTGCAACCGAGAACACGAAAAGCCGTGCTTGTTAAAACCCGTTGTCGTAGATCTGCGAGAGAGCCATCCCAACGCATAAAAGGTGAGCATGCATGGACAAAAACTCAACAACGAAGGGGCGGCGGTGGCGCAGACACTTACACGCTCGAGTAGCAACGCAGAGAGACCGAGATTGTCGTAGACGGCGGTGGTCGAGAGATGCAACGAGTCCATGTCGGACTCGGACAAAAAGTCAATAAATCCGTTCTCGTCCGCGGGCGACTTCTGTTGTGATTTCAGATTCAAGGAGAAGAAAATGCAATAGATGGTCAGAATAGGAAGGTTGGGGGGGGGGGCGCAACATATTCAATCAAAGAGTGTGTTCCTGCGCTTACTCGCTTCACACCGCCGGCAATGCGAGAAGCGTAGAGAGGATTGTCGTATGCACCAGCGATAGAGCCAGCCATCCGCGATTGTTGCATGCGAGAGCGCTGCATTGGATGCCGAACAGCCGCAGTCGAGTGCTGCAGAGGATGAGCGGACAAAGTCGGTGGCGCAGCGGCGACCGTGGGTTCTCGCAGCGGCCCATCATTCTCTGATACCGGTGGTTCAACAATTGCTGGCGGCGAGGGCGTATCGTCCGACGATTTCGGCGCTGCAGCGGACGAGCTCGACAACTCGAACGGCGGCGGCTGAGATCGAAGTGTTGGTGAATGCAGCAAATCTTCCATGGCATGCTGGGGGTAAGGTGAGACTTCCGAGCTTGCGGCAGGAGGTGCTGCTGCCGCTGCTGCTGCAACTGTTGTTGTTGGTTGCTGTGCTGGGATGAAGACGCGAGGCAGGCCAGTAGTGTCGGACACGGGAGCCGCGGGACGAGACTGTGACATATTTACTGGGATCATGACCGAGTTTGTCTGGAAGCGGATGCGTGGTGTGCTCGTAGCAGACTGAGCCATCGGGTTGTCGAGGGCGATTTGTGTCAAGTGGTCCAAGTAATGACGTGCAGACTTGCGTGGCTTCCAGTCCGCGTTGGTTGCCTTGAACGACAGGAAGGATTTTTCCATCTTGCCGTGCGACGAGATCTGCCGAGCACCGACCGGCTGACTGGCGGCGCGATCTGACAGCGGGACGCCGTAATTCGCGTTGCCGTTCCGCTCAAAGTTGAACAGCGCAAAGCTGCACACGTAGCCAACGCCATTCTCGTAGACAGTGACCTGCCGAATAAAGTCAATGATTTGCCGCGAGGTGCTCGGAAGCTTGAAGAAGAGCATGGCTGGCGTCAAAATAAAGCTAAAAACTTCTTGAGCAAACACGACCATGCGCATGTCGAAGAGGGTGGAAAACTCGCCGGCGACCTAGAGGTTGAGGGGGAAAACGATGTCGAGGGAATGAACGGAGCATGGCAGGGGGATGAGCAGTGAGCAAGCAGAAGAGCGTTTTAAGATGACGGAGCGAGCGCGCGACAACTCACTTCAAAAGTGTGCTCGCGGTTCTTCCAGTGGGCAGGAAACATGTGGATGTGGTAAACCACGTTGCGCATGAGAAGCGGGGGATCAAAGACGAGGTTTTCGTCGGGAATCAGCGTGCGAACCACGCCCAAAATGGCAATCAAGACACCGAGAACCCAGAACATGGAGCGGCCTTCGACCAAGTGCACCTGCAGCAAAAAGTCCTCGTTGTAGATGGAGACGGCGATGATGATGGCGGCAAACGCACCCAGGACGAACGCGATGAAGCTGCAGAGGTGTCGGAAAGGTGAGCATCGAGAGCAGAACAAAGACGAGAGCACAAACTTCTTTAAAACCCCCAACAAAAAAAAAAAAAAAAAAAAAAAACACAGAAGAGCGCTTGTACCGAGCAATAAGAGCAAGGAATTCAGAGTTGAACTTGGAGATGTACTTGGACGCGGGCTTGTAGCCATTGTTCAAGCTGTGCCAACGAACAAACAGACGATTGGAGATGAGGTCTACTGTTGAGAAAGGCCGCACAAACACCGCCTTTCTATAGGCTACGCACCGAGCTTGGAAAATATGCGGCAACTCGTTAAACTCTCGAAGCCACCAGCGAGCATACGGAGTCCATTGTCGCGCACCGACAGTTGTTGGCCGGTTACGGAACTCCTACACACACAAGACCGATGGAAGTGTGATGGCAAAAGCAATGAGTGGACCCACAACGTGCTGCTCACAGTTCACCACACTTGCCCTCAAACCTACCTCAGTGTAACGGAAGAAAAAGTACGTCAGCATAAACACCATGATAAATGGCGCAAAGAGGAGGTTGACCACCGCCATGAAAAAGAAACGCTTGCGCAGTCCTTTTGCGAGTCGCTCGGCGTGCTTTGCGTCCAGGAAGTGCTCCTTCATCGTCCCGTACCGCTTGTCAAACACATAGTCGAGAATGCATCGAGCAATGTTCCACTCGAGCGCTTTTGGCAAGATGATGCGAGGACCCAAAAACGGAATGTTCACGCGCAAATTGAGCAAGTCCTTGTTCATGAGAGCGACCAGATAATTGTCCTTTCGCATGATGCGGTTTGCCACGTCTGTGTCAGCCAAACAACATAAGGGTGAGTGTTCGCAGTTGGCGAGTGGAAAACATGTTTGCTGCCGCTGCGAATTGTTGTTGTTGTTCTTTTGGCCCACTTGGTCACTTGATGGTTTGAAGGCAGCAAGGGTTTTACCTTGTGGAGTGATTTCCTTCTTGACAATGCAGATGTTGCGCTTCCGTTGCACTTGTTCAAGCTTTCGCAGCACCTCGTTCCATCGAACGGTTTCGATTTCGCTCTGAGGGACAACGTTCAACCCCAAAATGCAATTTTGAGTTTTTTTTTAAAAAAACCAAAGCGTTACAAGAGCACAAAGCCCACGACACACCACAGGGCCAGAAGCGGTGAACACTGTACCTCGGGGATTTGCAGCTCATCAACATAGAACGTTCGCATATCCAGCAGCGAGCGCATGTTTCGGAAGATGAGCATGAACTGGAACAGCCAGAACGTGCTGGACACGACCAAGCTCAGTATCAAGATTGGATGCAGCGACGAGAGTCTGCCCAAGTGAATGGCTTCGCCCAGCTCGTGCGTCTCAAAGATTTCGTCATAGTCGACGCAGGCAATCAAGAACACTGCAAAGCAGACTGTGAATGCGAGCACAAACAGCTTGAGAATTCGCGCCAGGACAATGTTCCGAAATCCTTTGCCTTCGTGGTACTTGTAGATCTGTATGCAGCAAGAGAAAGATAAAGAGAGAGAGAGATAGAGAAACAAGGGCAGACACAGCCAAAAACGCCGGCCAAGCAAAACCAGCCAGTCTCATTGTCAGCACATTATCAGAAACGGTGACTGCGAGTACAGAGCATCAAAACTCCATTGGAGGTGGAGGGGGGGGGGGAAAGGGTTCCAGAAGAGACCAAGCAGCCCTTACATCGTGGAAGAACTGGTCGAGATCCTGCACAGCATACCACTGACTGCTCGAGTCTGCGTCCGCCCAGCTGCCCTCGTTATTGCCACCACTGCGATGCTCGCCATGATCATCGGTCTCGGCATAGTCGTCTTCGTTGTCGTCGTCGTCGTCGTCATTGCCGTTGTTCGCATTGAAACGGTCATCATTCTCGAATCCGACGCGACGCCCGCCTTGCCTGCCCATCGCCGTCGCCAGCTGCTGCTGCTGCTGTCCATACCGCGACGATGCCTCTCCCATGGCAATGTGGACGCTGTCGGACGGATGTGCGTTCGAGTGCATTGCAGACAGTGGCTGCATTTCGAGCGCAGCCGCTGTTTTTGCATTGCCGCTCTTCTTCGTCCAGTGAGTGTTGGCTTCATCCCCTTGACGCCGACCACCGGCACCTGCACCTGCACCTGCGGCAAAGGCGCTTCCGAGCTGCTCTTGCGCCGCGAGCGACGAGGCTGCTGCCATGTACTGCGACGAGGCGACCGACGACGGCAGCGTTGGCGGGATGCCAAAGTCGTCATCACTCCGACGTCCTCCTCCTCCTTCTCGTCCTCCTCCCAGTGCTGATGCGGTTGCACCTCCGCGCGCATGCTGCTGAGGGTGCCGCCCGTCGTTGGGATGCGCATCGTCGTCCCCGTCAGAGTAGGCGTCGTCGCCAAGCGGCTGGTACCCAGGCGGCGTTGCGCGGTGAAACATTTTTTTGTGACGGAGCTGCTGAGACAGGAACAAAGTTGGAAACAAAAAATGGAAAGTGAAGGACTGAGGGGTAATGTTCGAATCGAGACTACTGTAGTACGACACTGGACTCTGGTACAGTACAGTAAATCTCGGCGCGATGATCACGCAATGCAAAACAAAGCAATCGGCTGTCGTAAATCGAGGTCTCTCTCAATCATGGATCTGAAGCGGTTCGATCGTGCTGTATTATGAAGATGATATTATATTACAGCATAACCAGTCTTTTACTTTTGTGCTACATCGGACATGACCAAGCAGCATCGCAAGGTCAGCCATACAAAAGCACTTTCACTATTGGAGATCCGAAGCGGAACTGGCTGACAAAGCACCACCACCCTCCCCACGACGCCGACTCTGAGCTTGTCAATGAGACACTGATTTGTAGCTGGAGGGTGCTCCCTAGCTACAGTTTGGGGGCTGGGTGTTGGATGAGCTGTTGAAGGTCGTCGCAGTCCATGCGTTTTGGGCGTTTGGTCCATGTGGTGCTGTGCCGATGCAACCGAGCTGTCAGATGCAGTTTCCCCGCCCCCCGCGGCAATATCCTCTCCAAATCTGCAACACAAAAACACAATGGACATCTCACTTTGATCTTTTGGTGCGGGTGTGTGTGACAGAAACGCACGCATGTCAAGCTGAGCGAGGAGGAGATTGCGGGCGTCCCGCGCTCGTTCGTCATGCGCAAGGGCCCTGTGGGCAAGGCAGTGACGCGGCTGATGCTCGACATGCGCCACGTCATGGAGCCGTACACTGCGCTCAACTTGCGAGTGCGCAAGCGGAACACGCTCAAGGACTTTGTCAGCGTCGCTGGTCCCATCGGCGTCACCCACTTTCTCATCTTCTCGTCGACCGACATTGGCACGTACCTGCGCGTCGTCCGTCTCCCGCGTGGCCCGACGCTGAGCTTCCGCATTCACGCCTACTCCCATGCGGCGGACGTCCTTGCGCTCCAGAAAAACCCCCATCCACCAGGAATGGAGTTCAAGACCTCTCCTCTGGTAATGTCGTCGAATGAATGGGCAGTTGTTGTTGTTGTTGCAGTTGAGCTTGCGGATGTGCAGGTGCTCGTTCCGTGGTCAATGTGAAGGAAGAGGCGCGCTGGCTTGAACGAACTCTGAAAACTGACTTGCTTTTTTTTTTCGTTGTTCATGCTTTTGTCTTCCACAGCTCGTGCTAAACAACTTCAATCACGATGGCATCCAGTACAAACTCATGACGACCATGTTTCAAAACATGTTCCCATCCATCAACATCGAGACTGTACGTGCTCTTGCCCCCCCCCCAACCTCCCAAAGCTCCAACACTTTCTCTCCCCCTCCTTCCTTTGCTCATCTGTCTGTCTTCGTTCCCATTGTGTCTTGAACGCCCGCGTCTGGCAGGTCAAGCTGTCCAACATTCGTCGATGCGTCTTGCTCAGCTACATTCCGGAAACCAACCGCATCGAGTTCCGCCACTATGTGCTCACTACGCAACGGGTGGGCGTCAACTCTAGTGTCAAGAGCCTGCTGGAGGCCGATATTCCCGATTTGTCAAAGTTGGAAGACATCAGCGAGTTCCTTTTGCAACAAGTGTCTGCGCAAGACGGCGACGACGAGGCTGCGCAAAACCCCGCCGATCCGGCAGCCACCATTTCTCAAGAGCACACGACACGCAAAGGCGCAGTGGTTGCCACCCAGTCCAGCATCAAGCTGGTTGAAATCGGCCCGCGTATGACCATGTCGCTCTTGCGCGTCGAGCAAGGCGTGTGCGATGGCGACGTTATTTACCATCAACACAGTAAGTTTGGAAAGCTTTTGCGCTTTTCTTTGGTGTTTGTTTTTGTTTGGCACCCAGTTTGTTTGGCACCCTGTTTGGCACCCTATTTTGGCATTTGTCTCATCCGCTTGTTCTCCTCCCCCCCTCCAAATTTCAGTCAAGAAGACAGCCGCAGAACTCAAGCAGCTCAACCAACGACGCGCTCAGGCAAAGAAGCTCAAGGCCGACCGCAAAAAGCTACAAGAATCCAACGTCGAGCGCAAGAAGCAAGAGCGCCAAGAAAACCGAGACCGTTCCATGGCCGGCATCGAGCGCAAAAAGAAAGAGTGGGGCATCGCTAGCAAGAAGTCTGAGAATGACGACGAGTATGAGACCGACGACGATGTCGAAGCTGGTAGGTCGCTGAGTTCGTTTTTGTCCGCCGTCCGCAGTGGTTTGTTTTTTCTTGTCGAGGACGCTCATGCTCACCTCATTCTCTTCACTTCCCCTTCCCCCTCCCCGTTTCTCTCATCAGATGCTGCCATGGGCGACGACTCGATGGCCACCAGCACGTACGAGGAGGACGAGGACGATGATGCAGCGTGGTTCCGCAAGGAGGTTGGCGTTGAGCCCGACGCAGACTTGTTTGGGCGAACAGCTCGCGGCCGCGGTGCAGGGCGCGGTGGCTCCAGAGGGCGCGGTGATGGCTTTGGCGGCCGTGGCGGCCGTGGCGGCTTCCAAGATCGCGGCATGAAGCGGCAAGCCGATGACTTTGATCAATCAGACAGCAAACAGCAATTCAAGAAGCCACGCACGTCCGACTCTGGCGATCGCGAGCGTGACGGACCTCGCCGCGGTGGACGTGGCGGCGCAGGCGGCTCCTTCCGTGGTCGCGGTGGTGCTGGTGGCAGCAGCGGCAGCGGTGGTCGCGGCCGTGGTGGCTTTGGCGGACGTGGCCGAGGCGGCGCGGGCCGTGGCGGCAGCAGTCGCGGAGGAGGCCGTGGTCGTGGTTCTGGGCCAAGGCGATGAGCTCAAAGTGTGTTGTTGTTGCTGTTGTTGTTGTTGCTGTTTCAATGGAAATTTCGTACCCCAAATTTCAAACTCACGATTTGTCCATGACCAAAAATTACACTTGTACTAAAACAATGATGATTGACAACCAAACACGATATGGCCGCTGAATGCTTGGCATGTCACAGACTTTACAGAAATGCGCAGCAACCGCACCTTCGGGCACTATTGCTTTGCTGCAGAGGGCTCACCCATGGCCTCGTAGCGGAGAAGATCCATTGCGTCCTTCTCCTCCTGATCGCCCTTGTGGTCGAATGGTGCAACTGCTGCCGAGGCAACCACAGCAGCCACAGTCAATCCTTGGGCGTAGACACGAGCGTGAATGAGCTTTTGCGATGGCTTGATGTTCGGATTGCGGAAGGAGAGGGCAAGCGAGCCGACCATGGATGCGGCCCAGATGCCACCTACGCAACATCAAGATCAAATACCGAATGACGCAGCAAGTGATGAGCAACTCGGACGACAATTACACTTTTCCAAATCAGCCACCATGGCGCTTACCAATGACGTAAAACTTGTTGACAATCAGCCAGCGGTTCCAGTCCATGGTGCGAACGGCCTCCCAGGTGGACATGTTGGCGAGATTTTCGTGCTCCTGCAGGCGCTTTGCCAGAACCGGGTTGTTGACCGTGTTGGCGGACAGCGCGGCGGCCTTGGCAGCGCGCGATTCAGAACGGAAGGCGAGCATGCGTCGCTCGGCGCACGACACGCCAACGCCCGTCGACAGCACTGTATTCAAGAAGGAACGAATCGAAGAAATTGGGGAAGGTGAGACGAAAAAACAAACAAAAAAAAAAACGCGGATATTTTGTCAATGATGTTCAGACCCACGCCCCCTTTCAAAAAACCCTTCAAACCCCCTTCAAACTCTCGTCCAAGTCTCTGAGTTGCAGTTGCTGTTATTCATCCACACTCACACGCAGCATTGCGTTTTTTCATTTTTGCTCATTCTTTGATCTTTTGGCGAAAATGCATTCGCCGAATTCGTCATCAAACACGTTCCATGTCTTGGCGTTGTGAAAATCTGCGGGGAAGAAAACCGAAAAAAATCACCGCTTCTCACAGAAGTGCGACGAACGAACCAAAAACCATGTGCATCGACTGGACTTGCTCACTCTCACTCTCACTCTCTTCAACACACAAGCACACAAGCACACAAGCACACAAAGCACGACTCACTGGTGACGACAAAGACGCGGCTCGGAATGGTCGTCCGCGCAATGGCAGGCGACAGTCGGGACAGTGCGAAAATCGCACCCGACGTTGCAGCGACCGTCCACGCGCTGCCGACGACGCCGGCGCGGACAAGCTCGGAGCGCATGTTGCGCAGCTCGGACTGCGTGATTGAGTTGTACGCGGCGTTGGCGCGGCTGTCGAGGAGGTGGTCGTTCGAGCTAGTGTTCAGCATGTTGTCGGATGATTGCTGATTGATTGCTGAGAAAGAGAGTTGGAATTGATGACTGAGCTTGAATCATCTCAAATCAAGGGGGGAAAAATCGGAAATGCAAATCAAAGATCAGAGTGTTGGCAAAAAAATAGGCACAGTGCGCGTGTTTGTTTGTGAGTTGGGCTGAATCGAAATTGAACGAAAGAACGGCTGGACTTTGTTCTGATTGCGATCCGGTTGACGGTGTGCAGATCTCGAGAATGCCTGATGCATTGGTAGTTGTCAAAACTTCATTAAGAATGATAGTCCACATCAGCAAAATCCACCAGGAAAACAACCATCAAAAAAAAAAAAATCATGAACTCGGTGAAGATGTTGTGGCACTTCGACCACGACGACCCCCCGAAGGTGTCCCGGCTGATGCGCCAGAGCTCGCAGCGGCCGCTGTAGTAGAGGCCGCATGACCACCGCCAGACCCATCGTCCTGTTGCGACGCCTCTGTCTCCATAAAGTCCAGAATCTGCTCGCGGGCATCGTTGCGCATCTCGACCGCCATCAGGTAGACGTCGTGATCCGCGTCATTGTACATGAGCGCATTGGCAAACATCAGATAAATGTCTCGCAGAAAATCTCGTGTCGATCGAATTGTCTGTGGATGCAGAGAGCAAAAACGAAAATGAGTGCAAAACGCGACCGCAACAACAAAAGCAAGCACCAGCAAAAAAAAGCTCAAGCGTACACCATCGTCGATACGCTTGCGAATCGTCGTTAAATCCATCGGTCGCTTGATCACGCTGCTATACCCTGGCACCTCGTCGTCGGTCACTGGCCGAAGAAACACATTTGCGTAGCGGTGGTTGGAAATGTTTCGCCAGACAATCATGATGGATTTCTTCCAAGCCGCATTGGTAGGTGGCGGCGGGTTTTGGAGATCAAGTCTGCGCGGCGGGGGGGGGAGGAGATGGTGGAATGTGAGCATTCAACAAACAACATCATCGAAGATTTTGATCTTGCAACACCAACAAACGATTGTCAGCAAAAGATCTCTCTACCTTGATCGCGTCTCGGTATCAACATGCATGCTGTCGCTCGAGGAAGCGACTGGATTTGGCGAGCTGGGAGTGTGGAGAGTACCGCCGGCGCTTCCAACCGCGACATCCAGAGAGAGCGACGGAGTTGATTTCCGCGTGCGAACAGAGCCTCGCGTGGGCCGACTGGAGCTAGATGGAGTGGGAGTTGCGACTGTCGAGGGACTGGCAGCGGCGCGCAGTGGCGTGACTGTGCCGCTGGGAGCGACCGATGGCAATGTCGAGTCCAAATCCATGGGCGAGTTGGCAGAGAGCGACGAAGACACGCTGGCGGCAGGAGGCTTGTTCCGTACGAGAGCAGCAAGGCCAGTCTGAATGTCCATGTCGGTAACATCGGTGGCAGGTGGTGGGATTGGCGCAGCAGCAGCAGCAGCAGTAAGTGGGACTGCCGCTGAAGTTGCAGCAGGAGTAGCAGCTCCCATTGCAGTCCCAGCAACTGCCGCTGCGGTTGTTGTTCCTGCAAGGCCATTTGTTCCAGACGTGTCCATAGCCACAGCAGTAGCAGCAGCAGCAGCAGCAACAGCAGCGGCGCGATTTCCGGACAGCTCGGCAATGATGTGCGGGAGCTGTGCATCGAGCTCGCCAGCCTCGATTCGCTGCATGTCCAAACGCAGCTTTCTGCAGTTGTTCGAGTCGTGGGTGATGGATTTCCGCAGCTCGTCTTGGCGATCCGCAAAGAGCCGCTTCTCAATGGTGATGGCTGGAAGCTCTGCGACGGCGCTCGCGTCTCCGCGTTTGCGCTTGGGCGTCCCGTGCGCCTCGACGAGCTCTGCATACTGCGCCTGGCATCGCTTGGGCGTAAACCACTCGGCCGAGCGCACGTTGGTGACGTTGTTCAGCGTCGTGCTGTATGGCACATCCGCAAAGCACAGCAGCGCCTGGCACACCGCGTCCCAGTTGTTCTCGCCGTGCGCCAGCACTGCCTGCGCCAGAATGAGCTGCTCGCGCACAGTCCACTTGGCAGCAGTGTTGTATTCGAACGGGGCAGCAGTCGAAGTCGTCGTCGCCATGACTGCTTCTTCGAAAGGGTCTGTCTGTGTTTGAGAAGGATCACAACGGAACGGAACGGAACTGAACTGGACTGAATCTGAGCTGAATCTGAAGGCCAATGTTGTACAAAGGGGTTTTGTTCGATGTTGCAGAAGTCAACGCCAAGCACTGACCATGAAGTTGCCGCCAGTTCAGCCTCAATGCAAAAACAGCCTCAATGCAATGCACGATCGCCGTTGTTTCTCAATCTGAGTTTATCATCATTCAAATCGTCTCAAGTTCTCAGTCTCATTCCTATTTTTTTCTTTCTTTCTCAGTCTCAACTCACGAATGGCGGCATTGAACGATGTTGTCCAGCAGGAGCTGAACGAGATGCGCGTCCAGATTGTCCAGCTGCTCGACGGCACGGTGCGTTTCCCCGCCCTTTTTTCTTTCTCTCTCTCTCTCTCCCTCCCCCTGATGTACCGTCGTTCTCTCCGAGCGACGGTCGTCTCATGAGCGTCGTTTTGTTCCAATGGATTCAAGCCAACTTTTTTTTTTTTTTTTTTTTTTTTTGCTGGGATTTGCATTGCGTTTTTAATTTTTATAATTTTTGATTTTTGATTTTTGTTTTGTATGCTTGCTTGCAGGGCTCGACGGGTGGCAACTACCTGGACCGCATCCACCACATGATTGACAAGCGAGACACGCGACTCATCATCAACATCAACGACATCCGCGCAGCGCGACCAGAGATTGCTCAAAGGCACGGAGAGCCATTGAAAAAAAAAAAAAAAAAAAAAGCAAAGACCTGTCAAAAAAAAAAAAAAAAAAAAAAAAAAAAAAAAAAAAGAGATCTAGGATTTTGAATTGCTTGGCTCACAAAGTGTTTGGCGTTTGTTTTGTGTGGATGGTGACTGGTTGCAATTTTGATGGACATGGCAGATTGTCGCGAGAACCCATCACAGTCATCCCCGTGTTCGAGGCGGCGCTCAAGGAGGTCGTGCAGAGCGTCGACAATGTCTTTTTCAATGACAATCCGCTGCTGAGCGTTGGCTTTGAAGGATCGTTCGGAAGCCACCAAGTGACCCCGCGCGGACTCACGGCGAACTTTGTGGGCCATCTCGTGTGCATCGAGGGCATCGTGACAAAGTGTACGTGTTGCGAATGCGGGGGGGGGGAGTCTCCTCATCGCGCATCGCCCAATCTCTCTCTCTCTCTCTCTCTCTCTCTCTCTCTCTCTTTTACTCACCAACACATCACTCTTTCCACTCTTTGATCTATCGCTCTCTTGCAGGCTCGCTGGTCCGACCAAAGCTCGTGCGAAGCGTCCACTACTGCCCTGCGACGAAACACACGCTGACGAAAGAATACCGCGACGCCACTTCCTTCAACGGCTTGCCGACGGGCGGCACATACTTGCGAGAAGATCCCAACGGCAATCCGCTGGAGACAGAGTTTGGCATGTGCACGTACATTGACCACCAGACGGTCGGCATCCAGGAAATGCCAGAGAGCGCGCCGGCCGGCCAACTGCCGCGGTCGGTCGACGTTATTCTCGACAACGATCTCGTCGACCGCGTCAAGCCTGGCGATCGCGTCCAAATCATTGGCGCGTACCGCGTCCTCCCAAACAAGCAAGGCTCGGAAACGAGCGCCATCTTCCGCACCATTGTTATCGGCAACCACATCCGCCTTCTCAGCAAAGAAATCATCCAGCCCCTCGTCACCGAGCAAGATGTGCTTGCCATCAAGCGGCTGGCCAAGCAGCGCAGCAAGGACATTTTTTCGCTTCTTGCACGCTCGCTTGCTCCCTCCATCTACGGCCACGAGTACATCAAGAAAGGTTTGTTGTGTCTGCTGCTCGGTGGTCAGGAGAAGAATCTATCGACTGGCGGCCATATTCGCGGGTACGGGCAAATTCCAACTTGTCTCGCTCTTTGTTCATTCTTTTTTGCTTTCCTGGACTGCAACTTTTTTGCAATTGAATTCTCACAACGATGGTGCGCATGTTTGCTTGCTTTCTTGTCGCTCTTTGCTCTGCAGTGATATTAACATGATGCTTGTCGGCGATCCGTCCACGGCCAAGTCGCAAGTACTCCGATTCGCGCTGCAGATTGCTCCGCTGGCAATCGCGACCACCGGCCGTGGCTCGTCCGGCGTCGGTCTGACTGCTGCAGTTACGAGCGACGCGGAGACCGGCGAGCGACGACTCGAGGCTGGCGCCATGGTGCTGGCCGATCGCGGCATTGTGTGCATTGACGAGTTTGACAAGATGAGCGATGTGGATCGCGTGGCGATTCACGAAGTGATGGAGCAGCAGACAGTGACGATCGCCAAAGCCGGCATCCACACAACCCTGAACGCGCGCTGCTCTGTCATTGCCGCGGCCAATCCCATTTACGGGCAGTACCGCGCGGAGACCTCGCCGCAGGACAACATTGCCCTGCCCGATTCGCTGCTCTCGCGTTTTGACTTGCTTTTCATCGTGCTGGATGCAATGAACCCAACGCACGACAGCCACATTGCAGAGCACGTTCTGCGCATGCATCGGTATCGCCGTCCTGGCGAGGCCGATGGCGAGGCGCTCTCTCTGTCGTCGGACTCCACCGCAGCCTTGCTGCACTACGACCTCGAAGACCGGCAAGCCAACGCTGCCAACAATCCGGACGGCCGCGACGGCATTTTTGAAAAGCACAACGCGCAGCTCCGGGGCAAGCAGACTCAGGAGATTCTCACCATTTCCTTTATCAAAAAGTATCTCCAGTACGCCAAAGCCCGCGTCCAACCTGTGCTCACGCAGGCTGCGGCCGACTTTATCGCCTACGAGTACAGCCTGCTGCGCGCCAGCGAGTCGGAGGAGCGCAAGACGCTTCCCGTCACTGCGCGTACCCTCGAAGCCATGATTCGCCTCGCCACCGCGCACGCCAAGGCGCGCCTGTCCCGCGAGGTCACGGCCGATGACGCGGCCGAGGCGTACAACATTCTCAAGTTCTGCCTCATTGGCGTGGGCCCGGACGCAGACAGCCAAAAGGCCAAGCTCGAGCGCGACGCTCGTGCCATGCGTGGCGAGGACGAAGGTGACGATGATGATGATGGCGACGATGGTGCGGATGGTCGAGACGGCGGCAACGGCGGTGGTAGCACTCGTGGCAGCGTGTACAGCGGTCGCAGCACCCGCACCAGCCGCAGCAACGTTGATTTCCGAGGCATGGATTCGGCCCTTGAATCCACCTCGGATGACGGAAAGTGGAAGGCGCCATCGACGCCCATGCGCGCAAAGGACGCGTTTATCAAGACGCTTCGCGCCCAAGACGAGGCTATTGCCATGGCCGCCGCCGCCGATGCTGCCGAGGAGGATCTTCGTCGCGAGCTCGAGCAGCAGCAGCAGGCCGATGATGAAGCGACTGCGTCCGGCTCGACACGCTCTTCGCGCCGGTCTGCCCCTGCTTCGCCCGCCTCCATCATTTCCTCCTCGCGCGGCAGTCGCAAGCGCGTCGCCGAGGATGCGGAGGACGACGACGAAATCCCTCCCACACCCCGATCTGCGCGCGGCTCCCCGCGCTCCAAGGCCGCTGCACCATCGCCCGCCTCTGCGAGAAAGAGGGCTCGCTCAACCGAAGAGGCCAGCCAAGAGGCAGAAGACGATGATGACGAGGAAATTGACGCCACTCCTCAACGCGCTGGCCCCAGCAAGCGTGTCGCTCCTCAAAGCTCCTCTCCCCGCAAGCGCATTCAAGTTTCTGATGCTCGGTATGGCAGTTTTTTTTTTGTTTGTGCTTTTTGGATTTACTGAATCATGTTCTTATCTTTGGTACCGCCGCTTTTTTTTTTGTTTTTTTTTGTTCCCCTTCTTTCGTTTGAAAACCTACCAGGCTGGACGTCTTCATGCGAGACTTGGACAACATTTTCATGCAACTCAACTCCACATTCATCGATTTGGAGGTTGTCTACCAGCGACTGGTGGGCAAATCGCGGCCTGCTTGGACGGACGACGAGATTGGCGCTTGTCTCGACCGCCTTGTTGCTAGCGAAAAGCTCATGCTGTCCGAAGACAAGGTTTTCCGATTGTAAAAAACCACCGCCAGCACCATCGTAGAATGTCCATGTGACTGTTAAGACTCGATTCATAAAAGCCAAGTTTTCGTTTTTCCCTCCAAATCATCTGCCGAGTTCTAGCACCGTTCCCCCTCCCCCCACCCCAGCAAACGAAGCAAAAACAAGAAAGAAAAAAAGGACAAAGGCAAGTGTATTCATGAAAAAATACTTCGAAAACACACAAACCGATCGCAACGAAATGGTGGGAACAATCGTTTTAGGCCTTGAGGGCGTACTTGCGGAGGGGGAAGTGAGTGCGCTTCTTGGCCTCGCGAATAGTCACTTGCGATCGCTCGTGCTGGTTGAGCTGGCGGCGGATGGCACGGGTCTTCTTGACGCGGAGGTCAGTGGGCAGGTACTTCTTGCCGGCAAAGTGCTTGCGGAGGTGCTCGCGCTGGGTCTGGTTCATGACGGTGAGGACCGCAGCGACGCCCTTGCGGACGGCCGAGATGCGGCCAAGCTTGTTGGCAGCGCTGCCAGTGACCTTGGTCACACGGAGCGAAGCAAGCTCGGTCTTGAGGGACTTGAGTTGGTCCTCAAGCTCAGCCTTGCTCTTGGTGCGGAGCTCGTATGCACGAAGCTTAGTCTGGAGGAAGCGAGGAAGGGGGAAAAAACAGAGGGTTGAGAAGGTGAGTGTGGTGGTTGCAGAGAGGAGAGAAAGGGAGCGTGGAGTCGGAAGAGCGAGCGAAAAGTCGTCGCAGAGCGCTTCCGCAGGGGCGTCGGGTCGACCACGGGAGAAGCTGGAGATTTGTGCTCCCCGACGCAGCAGAGCGAGCGCGCTGGATGACGGGAACTGAAAGCGAAAGCAACGGTTCAGCCAGCCAAACGAGCGTTTGCTTTCGCTCGACCCCGCTTTCATTCACAGGCCGACGCTTTCAACGACAGGGAAATGCCAAGCACATGCACCACAGAGAGTCGTGTTGCAAACAATTGCGCGCTGGTCATGGCGAGGAGCAGGCTGCGGCGCGCGAAAAACCAATGCCAAAAGGGCGCCGAGTCGCTCGATTGTCGTTCTCCACCTCCCCACTTTACTCCAGCCCCGCGGGTCCATCCGCCCTGCTATACAACCCCACCACCCTCTAATCCGATGTGTAGGACGGTTCTGCAACGGATTGAAGCACGATCGAGGCGGTTGCGTACCATTATGAGAGATAAAGAGAGAGAGCAAACCAGTGTCTGTTCCAAAATTGTTTGGCCGAGTTTTTGTAATTTCGAGTAAAATTCGTTCTTTGGTCGGACGCTGGCAACGCCACGGTCATTTACACGAGCCGCATTCTTATGAGGAAATTTTGTACTAGTAATATTATTGGGAACTGGTGTGCTTTGGGAGGAGGAGAAGTGTGTGTGTGTGCGTGTGTGTGGGATCGTTCAATGCCCGAAGAGAACGCTCGGAGCTCTTTTCTGAGCCGTTCGTCATTCACAAGTGAAATGCCTTAAGTCTGATAATACAGCGAGCTGCCAACATTGCCCTTTGAGGTCGATAGCTGCGAGCGGGAGTTGTAACGAGCTGCTCAGATTAAAAAAATCCAGACCGCCGCAGCGTTGTTTACCCGCGCCCTCAAACGCGAGTTACCGCCGAATACGAGGACGACGGGCGATTCTCGTTTTGGTAGCATCAAAGAGCTTAACCCCAACTTGCACCAGAGTCGCTGGGTCGTGCTGCTCGTCGACGTTTTGAGCTGTTCTGCAGGGAGCAGGGTTTCGATTCAACAACACGACCACAACGCAATCATCTTCAGCCATGTTTCATTTTGACTTGCCATAATATCACTTCCCTTTATTTTCCCCGCATACTGTACCATCCAGTCTAAGTCTCAGCAGGCCAGTCCAATTCAACCCCATTTGAACAATGGCCTTCAAGCCGAGGACGCAAGAGTTTCTGTCCTTGCGGCTGCACGCGCGCGAGCACCAACGGACACACGACATATCGCCGCACGGCTACGAGGACGACAATGCCAAGCTCCTCGGCCAGGTGAGTGAACTGACTGACTGACCTATCGCCTGGACTGACCTGACGAGAAAGAGACAAAAACGAAGCGAGAGAATCGAGTCAGCACATCCTTCCTCCCCCCCCCTCCCCTCGAGCCAGCTGTTTGCCAGGCTGCTGCTCTACGAGATGGATGGCTTGGCCTTCATCCCAGTATCCCCAGTCCGCCCTTCCCCGCTTCCCCTTCCCGCCTCTTGGTCGGTCATCGCTTCGATTTCTCTTTTTTTTTTTTTTTTTTTTTTTTTTGAAATCTCGTTTTTTTCCATCTGCCTTGGTTTTTGGGGTTTTCTTGGTCTTCGATGCTTTTGTTTTACGCTGCGGATGCGAATTCGAGGACAAAGACGGGACTCTCGCTTGGTTGGATGAACGACGACGAATGTGCCGCGAATTTTTGAGTTGTGGAGCATTTTGCTTGAGCTTGACACGAGAAGATGGGGGAAAATGACGGAAGCCAGCAACTCAAACTCAATGGTTCCACAAAGACGCGAGCAAGACGCGAGATCACCTTTTCGAGTTGTTGTTGAGCTGTTGAAAGCATTGAAAAGCACTGACTTTTATGATTGTCGTTGCGGATGCGGTTTTTTTGGGAGCAGCGCGGAGGTCACGTCAAGTTGTCGATGGTGCCAGAGGCAGCGCCAGAGTGGATTGATCACGTCGACAGCATCAAGCTGCGGATGCGTGACATTGCTGCCAACATTCAAGACTTGATCAAGAAGCACGAGGAGCAGATGAGGCGCACGGATTTCGACGACGACAACAACGACGACGAGCATGCCATTGACATTTTGACAAAGAACATTTCCTCGGGCTTCTTTGAATGCCAGCGCGACATCAAGATGATTGCCGAGCGTGCCAAGCAGACTGGCCATCCTGACGAAATCAAAATGTCGCGCAATGTCGTCTCGGCACTTGCCCTCGAGCTCCAAAAAATGTCGACCGACTTCAGAAAGTCTCAAAACCAATACTTGCAGCGTACGTGAATCCTTCGCCTCTTGAGCCTAGTTGTTGTTGTTGTTGTTGCTGTTGCTGTTGCTGTTGCTGTTGCTGTTGCTGTTGCTGTTGCTGCTGCTGCTGTGATTGGCGACTTACGTCGTACTTTTCAACTTGTGCTGCCCAGGCCTTCGTGCTCGAGACAAAGGCATCCTGTTCCAGCCTGGCGAAGTCCCCCAAGACACTCTGGCTGATGAAGAGTACCATGTTGATAGCGGATTCACTGCTGAACAACTCCAGGTATGAATGGCGGTGGATTGCTTTTCTGTGGAAGAGAGTTTGTGCTTTTTCCGTCTTGCTCATCTTTTTCTCGCGGGTCGTGATGGCGATTGAACTGACCAGGCCACCCAAGCCGCGATCGAGTTTTCGCACCAGCGTGAAGCTGAAATTGAGCTGCTTGTTCAATCCATTAGCGAGCTTGCACAAATCTTTAAGGATTTGTCCGAGATGATTTATGACCAGGTAAATGCGCTCGCAAAGGCCCCCTTTGGACAATTGCTGAACACGTTAAATTGGATGGAAGATGTTGGCACATCTCGTTCACTTTTTTTTTCTTGATTGTGTTGCCTTTGATTAGGGCACCATTCTTGATCGCATCGATCACAATCTCGATGTCACGTTGCAATGCATTGACGAGGCCGAGAAGCAACTCATCGATGCCAACAAGTATCACAAGAAGGCCACCAAGAAGATTATTATTTTGTGTCTGGTCGTGATTGTACTGGCTCTTGTCATTGCAGTGGCCAGCACAAAGTGATTTTTGAGTTTTTTTTTTTCCATTTTTTTTGTTCATGTCTTTTTTTGATCTCTTTTTGTTTTCCCTGTCTTCATTTCCCTGTTTCTTCGGGCTTTGCTGCGCTGTCTAGCAGTTCATCGTCCCCTATTGTGATAAACACGAATCGAGTTCTCGCTCTCTCTCTCTTTTTTTTTTTCCGCCTGGAGAGGTCGAGCACAAGTTTTGGTGTGTTTCGACCGTTTGAAAATCAACATCCCAAGAGAATCAGTGACTGTAAAGCACATCACTGTGTGTTGCACGATAACGACAGCGGACAAATGACAGCCTTTCGTTTTTGCACAAAAGCCACAAGAGCGAGGCAACGACAACACAACACACCAGAAGAAAACAGTCACACGCTCAACAACCCATCGCCCGGTGCGAGAACATAGTTTAAAAGATCTTCTCCTTGACCGAGAACGAGGTCAGCCGAGGGTGGTCGACAAACTCGTTGCCGTACGTGACGATCGTGCGAATCGACACCACAAGTGCCAGCACCCAGAACAGGACGTACGCAACGTGCAGCACGCTGTCGTCGGCTGGATCAACGAGGGGATAACCGAGAGTGAGCGGGACAGAAGACAAAAACAATCGACACTAACCAAAACCAAAAACCAAAACAACCGAAATTCTTACTCGCAGGGAACATCAGGCTCAACACCAGCATTGCGAAAACAACCGCCGAAATCAACGGGAGCTAGAATGCGACAGTACAACATCATACGCAAGCAGCATCGATCAGTACATTGTCGTCGCTGCAAAAACAAACAGCTGCTCTACACAAATCCCACTTTCACGGTTACCATTCGTAGGCGCTTTGCAACCTCGCGGAGAGGCGAATCCACCTGGGGGTCCACGCGGTAGGTGCCGAGGAAGAGCGCCACACCATCCTGACGGAAGCCATCGGCAAAATTGTTCTTGTAGTAGCGGATGGCCGAGTTGTAGCCGTCCTGCATCGCGCCAGCCAGGGAGCGCTTGCCAGTGCGAGTAAAGTCGGTCTTGAGGGCACCGGTGCCAGAGTACTGGAAGCTCACAGCATCGGCGTTGTCGGCCCAGACATTCTTGAAGCGGCGCTCGAGTTCGACCTGCTGCTCGACCAGCTCGCCCGGAGCAATGACGCCAAGCTCCTGCAACTGGCGCTGCAGCACAAGGCGCGCAATCATGGACTGCACGACGTTGGTGCGATCGAGGCAGTCGGCGCAGTTGGTGCGGAAGACGCCATTCTGGCGGTGGCGCACAGCCTTGTTGTTGTCAATGAAAAAGTAGCCCTGCTTCTCCATGTCGCCGGCGATCTGATCGAGCAGCTTTTTCAAGTTTTGGTACTTCATGTTCTTGCACTCCTTGTGGAAGTCAAAGCCGATGAATCGCAGCCCAGTGTCGCCTGCCATGACCACTTGCTGAGCAAAGCCCTCGTGCAGGCGCAGCTCGCCGCCCTTGTGATCGACCAAGCTCAGAAGGCCTTGGCTCTTGCCGTAGATTCGCTGCTGCTCGTCAAAGTGCTTGCGGAAGGCGGAGAAGTGATCGGCATCCGTGTTGACAACAATCGAGGGCTTGTACTTGATGTTGGCGCGCTGGGACCAGAACAGCGGCACAGAGCCTCGCGTCTGCACGTACGATGCCGCTTGGCCGTTGACCTCCACGATTTGCTCCGTCTCGACAAAGTTGGCGACGTGGCCGCTTTCGTCGATGCCTCGGACGTTAAAGCGCGTGCCTGCGATTTGCAGTGAGGAACGTGAGCAACGGGAATGCATCATTTTGAGCAATTGTTCAGTTTAATGAGCGCGCCACGTTACCCGATCGGTAGACACTACGGCGCGAAATGAGGACAAACTGCAATGAGCGATCCTTGACGTTCAACTGGTTGATGCTGACAACTGAAGATTTTGGAAAAAAACGAAAAAAAAAAAACCGAATCGTGTCAGTGAATGCTCAATGTTGAGCAGACTGCTGCAAGCAACAAAAGCAGCAAAAAAAAAAACGACTTACATCCATGGATGACAGGAACGAGGAAATCGCGGAGCTAATTGGAAATGCACAAGCGAGCGAAGGGACAAAAAGTCAGCGTTCGCGTACAAGCACAAGAATAACAGCAACCCACGAGCAACACATACATCGCGGGAATCGCGGAATGCCTGGTGCAAATACTTGTTCCAATAGAAGCGCTCATCAGCCTGCGCACAACAACAACAACACAAACCAAAAACCAACAACAACCCACAAAAAACAAAAACCAGCAGGTGAGCACTCCGTTTCGGGGAAGAGAGACTCCAGGCTGAAGTACTGCGACACATACACGCTCGTGCATGGCTTGGTGCGCAAACTGCTTGTCGTCGGTGTAGAGGCGTTGCTGCGTGTGGGTCAGATCGTACGAGTACGAGAAGTGGAAGGCGCCCGAAGCCAGCATCGAGTTGATCATGGCAACATACGACTTTTCATCGGCGCTCTGCGTACGACAGAGAGAGTTCAAGGCAAGAGGTTTTGGTTTAAGTGAGCAGAGAGGAGACGAATCAAACATGTTTCGATAAAAATAATCGCGATTCCTACCTGGGCCTCGGACAAGTGGCGGTGCGAGCGTGCAAACGGAATCATCTCAATCTCGGTAGCCTTGAAAATGTCCGATCCAGCGAGGCGACCGACCAGCTGCTTCTTGGTGATGAGCAGAAGGTACGGGCCGGCGAGCAGGTGGATGACACCGAGCAATGCCGCGACCTCGCGCGTCACGCCGGCGTGCATCTGGGCCTCAACATCACGTGCAGCTGTTATTTTGTTCAGATACAAAGGGAGGAAGGGTGGACGACAAGACGCCATTGCGACAGTGAGTAGTGAGTGAAAGGCTATCGTCAAGCCAAGTGGTGTGCTGCAGCTCCCAACCCGAACCCCAACTCATGAATGGCTGGCATCTGTGCAGTGATGATGCCCGCTCAATCACTCGGACGAGCCCAGGCAGCCGTCTGCTAAAATGCATCGAGAGAACTGGTGAGGTGGCGCTGATCCGTAGTCGAAGGCAGAGCGGTTTGTTGCTCGGCTGCATCCCGCGCGCGCGAGCTCAAATGCGAAATGGCCAGCAGCTGAGCAGTTCCTCATCAGCCCGCCTTTGTGGGGCGTGGGGAGGGGTCGTGGAAGGCGGGGGGGGGGGGAGAGACGTCATGAAGTGATTGTCCCCTTACAGCGAGGTTGCATTGAGTGGTTGACGCGGTCGATGAAGAGCACAATGTCAGCGCCCGTCGCAGGCTGCAGCACAAACGCCTCGTCAGACGTGTACCTGTTGAACGACAGGCAAAAAAGCAAAGAACGAACACAAGGAAAGGGAAAAAAAAAAAAAAAAAGTCAGCTTTTCAATGGTTTTTCAATACAAGTTTTTTTTTTTTTTTGTTGGTTTTTACAGTCGAAGTTTATCGTAAGCTGGCATTTCGTATGGAAAGAGACTGAGAAACGAAATTCAGCCTTCATCATCACTCAACTCACAGCAAATCACAATGTCAAAATCAGAATCCGTAACATTTTGGCAATGGCTAGAGCGGGGAACACGCGCAGTAATCGATCTTGTCCGTTTGACAATCCCCTCAATGCACCTGGAAAGTCCCTCCAAATGCTCACCGTGTTGCTGCATTGGAAAATTGAACCTGCTCTGTTGTTGTTTTCTGGCTCTGAGAATTTTGACAGCTCAGTTCCTTTTTTTTGTTCGTTCTTGTTTCCAGAGTGAATCGCACAGAATGGCAGCCGTCGCCGAGGACAATCCGCTCGCGTACCACATTCACGACTTTGTCGATACCTGCGTTGACACGTTGTTGACGTTTCGCGTCATTCGAGCGGCAGGCACGCTGTTCATCTGGGTCGGATCGTCGGCAGGAGGGGCAGACGACGGTGCTGCATTGGCTGAGCAGCAGGTTCCCCAGCAGCAGCGCAAGCAGGCGCCAGTCTACTTTACCGATCTATCAGTGGCCATGCCAGCACGAGCATCACACGCGAGCACAGGGCCAGCGACCTCAACACTGAGCGTCGAGCCACAGGTTTGGCTTTTGTGACTTGTTTCACGCTCGCCTCCCACACAGCTGTGGCGTCGTCATGCATCACCCTGCACCCCAGGGGGTTGCAGTGTCACGCCTACTGCTATTGATAGAGAAAGTTGGTGCTGCGGCGAAATTCCTCACTTCCATTGCTTTGCTCAACGTTGTAGTCAACACCAATCCCTCCGGCAGTCGCCCACCTCCTGGGCTCCGGAACGTCCTCTGCTTCGGAGGCTATGGCTGGGCGGTTGGGTAAGTCTGCGAAATGGGCACTTTTGACAAGCAACCACCGTATCTCTCACTGCATTGCCGCTGTTCTTTTTCGAATGATTTGTGAGCAGCGCTCAAAACCAAAAAGCAAGTGTTTGTGAGTTTGAGTCTGCCGTCGTCCAGCGGTGCCTCGACTTCCATGTTTATCGAGCGACGCATTGTCGAAGAGATGAAGCAACGACCCGAGCAATTCTGAGAGTAGATTCGCCAATAAAATCCAAAATGCAGTCCTGATCACACTCCGCAGCCCAGGGTACCATGATTTTCACAGTACCAACCGCGGATCTGAACAAATGGTGGCAACATCCGTCACAATGCACAACTCGGGGTGAAAGGTTTTGGTGTTGTTTTTACAAGAATGACACCGAGCAAAAAAACGGATTTTTGAAGCATCACTGTCGTTAATCGATGGACTTTGCACGAACCATTGCGAAAGTTTTACTGCTGGGTGTTCTTGAGGAACTCTGCAAAGACACAGGAAGGGAGGCAGAGTCGAAGGGATGGGGGTGAGAATCGTGTCAAACTCCAAACAAACGAGCAAAACACTCGCCAATCCAACAAGCTGTCAACAAACCACATACTGGCAGGGGTGGCCTTGCCGTTCTCATAGAGCGAGACACGGAGGTTGTGCTCCTCGCGCTTGAGGGCCTTGGCCTGGGGAGCCTCCTTGAGTGCTCGGCGCAGGTAGCGGGCAGCGAGGTTGGAGTACTCGAGGTAGCTGATTTTTATTGATATGGTTTGTTGGACGAGTCAGCAACATCAACCAAAACGAGCACAACGAGGCAGCAGTAGTAGAGTGGAGTGGAAGAAGGGGAAACGAGGAGGGGGATCAAAAGTCACTGCTGCTGTTCTCCGTCCGTCTCCCCGATGCATCCGTCCCCGTCCGTGCAATGATGATGATAGGACAGACGGCACAAAACCCAATGCGATGGTGGTGGTGCGGATGGACGAACAAGGCGCCTGTTCCGCACAATGAGCACAATGGAAAGCCGGAGTGAATGCGATCTTGCTTTTTTTTTTTTTTTTTTTTTTTTTTTGGTTCTTGGCGCTCGGATTCCGCGTCGTTGTTGCCCCAGTCTCAAACGGAGGCAGATGCAACTCAACAGAGCAACGTGGAGGGAATGAAGAGAAGGGGGAAGAGGGAGAGCGAGGGTTAGAAGGGGGAGAGCGATGGGGGAACTCAAAAGGGGGAAAAAAACAAAAAAACATGGGGCGTACTTGAGACCAGCAGCTCGCCAGAAGGATCCCTTGCTCATTGTGTGTGTGAATGGAAAAACGAAGACTGGAGAATCAGGAAAAAAAAATGGTGAAAAGGTCTCTTAGATGAGTGTGAGGAAGCTGTTTGAGAATTTTGTGAGCTTTGTTTGTTGGAAAAGCGATCGCGTTGTGGCGATTTTCCAAAGTCTCTGAAATCAAACAACAGCCACCAGGCGATTACAGCAAGTTACATTGATCTGAAAATGTACGTCGTAAGGGCTGCAAGCCGTCGTGCTGACGAAGCGGCACAGAAGTGCTTGGATGGATGGATGGATTGCTCAGAAGAATCCAAACTCGGCGTTTTTTTGTTTTTTTTTTGAGCGGGCACCTCCTTCTCCTCCTCCCCTTTGTCCTCTCTTGATCACTCACCTACTAGACAGACCCTCTCATTGCATTCCGCTGAATGCAGCAACCCTGTAGATAAGTCCACCTCACTGAACACAAACCTCAGTCCAAGTCTTTACAACCGAAAACCTTCCCCCCCCCCTTGATTGAATGGCACCCACCCGCACAACCAAGGACGTGGCCAGCAGTGCCAAGGACAAGCCCATTGAGGATGTGCCTGCCTCTTCGGCATCGGCATCGGGCAGCGGCGCCGACGGAGCGAACGACTTGACTGTGCCTGCGCCGCTCGTTTCGGCGACGGCGCACCTGCCCAAGTCGGTGATTGTGCATCCGCTGGTGCTGCTGAGCGCCGTCGACCACTTCTACCGCGTGTCCAAGGACTCACGCAAGCGCGTTGTCGGCATCCTGCTCGGCCAGCGCACCGGCGACACGATCGACGTCTCGAACAGCTTTGCAGGTAACAGAAGAACAACCGAACGCGACGACCACCACTCACGATGCTGCTGCTACGAATGCGATTGCGCGTTCTCTGGCCAACGTGTTTCGTCGGATTCAACGTGCCCTCGCTGCTCTGTTGGGCGCTTTGTTTCGGGAGGCACAGAAAACGCAAGCCAGCCGAATGGCCCAAAAAAAAAAAAAAAAATTGAGATCGAGAAAAAAAAAAAGAAAAGAGTTCTCGAAACGCAACGCAGCGCACCGCAGCACAACTCAACAACGGATGACTCGACTGCGTTGTTTTGGGCATTGTGTGTGAAGATGCTAAGCGACTCTGAGAAAACAGTCCATCGAAAGGAGGGAGGAAAGGAGAGCATCAGAAAACCAGTGATTCAGAATCTGCTGTTGGGTCATCATCTTACGCTCAATTGTGTGTGTTTGTGTGTTGAAATTCAGTGCCATTCGAGGAGGACGAGCGCGATCCGAGTGTGTGGTTTTGCGATCACAACTTTATCGAGTCCATGCATCACATGTACAAGCGCATTGCTGGTAAGCCGCGAGACTGTGACATTTGTGTTTTTGTACTGGAGATGGTTGATTGACGTTGTATGAACCTGTTCCACTGTTTGTTGCTGTGACTGCAGCCAAGGAACACATTGTCGGATGGTATCACACGGGGCCAAAGCTTCGGACAAACGATCTGGCCATCAACGAGCTGCTCCAGCGGTTTGTGCCCCATCCCCTGCTTGTGATTATCGACGTCGAGCCAAAGGAGCTCGGCTTGCCAACGTCGGCGTACATGACGGTGGAGGAAATCCACAGCGACGGCTCGCCAACGTCCAAGACCTTTGAGCACATTGCCAGCGAAATCCAGGCCGAGGAGGCCGAGGAGGTCGGCGTGGAGCACTTGCTACGCGACGTCAAGAGCTCGACGGCAGGCACGTTGTCCGAGCGCATCACAAACCAGCTCGCATCGCTGCGCAGCTTGTTGTCGCACCTCAGCGACATTCACGGCTATCTGGACAAGGTGGCCACGGGAGCACTGCCCATGAACCACCAAATCACCTACCAATTGCAAGACATTTTCAACCTGCTGCCCAACGTCACCGTGGACGAGCTCGTCTCGGCCATCTCGGTCGAAACCAACGACCAAATGCTTGTTGTCTACGTCTCGTCGCTCGTTCGCGCCATTATCGCCCTGCACAATCTGATCAGCAACAAGCTCGCAAATCGCGACGCTGAAAAGAAGACCGAGCAGTCCATTGCACGATCTCTCGAGGACACCATTTCTAGCGGCGGCAAGACAAAAGACGGCCCAACTGCCAAGGCATAAAGGCAGCAAAAGTCAAGTGCCAAGAAAAAACAAGGGCGTGCAAAAAATGACTCACAGAACGGACAAGGAGAATTGCTCAGTTTGTTTTGTTTTGTTTGTTTGTTTTTGTTCTTGTGTGTCGAGTGTTGTTTCTGTTTTCAATGTAGTATGGTTTTCTTTGCTTGTTTTCAAATTTGGTATTCTCTTCCAAATCCAATCCAAATCACTCTTAGTTTTTTTTCTCTTTCTTTCTTCTTCTTTGTAATTTCTTGCAATGAGCACAGCGTTAGCATCCAAACGTCGCTTTGACGCCGTGGATGCATCGCCGCCGTCGTCGCCTTCGGGCTCGGCGGGTGGCTTTGGTGTCGCCTCGCATTACCAGCACAACAGCTCGCCCACGTTGGGACGGCGCCTGGGCATGATGACGGCAGCGGCGACGACGATGCCCGCGGCGCTGCCATATGGGATCGATGACGTGTCGTCGTCCATGCTTGGCCACAGCCTGCCCCACACTTCCACACACATGCCACAAGGGCCACTGGGCGGCGGCATGGCGCTGACATCCTCGGCCTCGTCGTTGGCCATGGCGTCAGCAGCAGCTTCGCCGCTCTTCCGCCAAGCCAGCTCGCAGTACCTCTCCTCCTCATCCTCCCCTGCCGCCGCCGGCCAAGCACCCCACCAGCAGCTCTCCAAGCGGTCACGGCAGATGGACGGGAGCAACAACGGCCCCGTCTCGCCCATGTTTGCCTCCATGCAGCTCATCTCGCGGCGGTCGCACGACTCTGCCTTTGCCTCCTCCACCTCCAGCGGTACGTCTGTTCTTTTTCACAGAGTTGCTGGTTTTACTATTGTTCTATTGCTCGGAATTGAATTTTCCACCACTCCGTCTCTCTTTTGCTCTCTTTGAACTTGAGCGGTTTTACGATTCGTTTTCAAAACCAAAAAAAAAAAAAAAAAAAAAAACTTCGAGAGAAAAACGGCTTTTTTTTTTTTTTTTTTTTTTTTTTTTTTTTTTTTTTTTTTTTTTTTTTTTTTTTTCGTGGGGTTGCTCTTTATTCACTTTCATTGGATTTTTTTGACTGGTTGTCGTTGTTTCCATCCTTCTCTGCGAGTCCTGTTGGCACACTTTGCATGCTGTTTGTTTGTCGATTGCGAATGAGCACGCACTATGATCGGGATGGTGGGGTGTCGTTCGAGATGAGCGGCTTTCGTCGCTTCTGGTCGGTCATCAGGTTGGAAGTGTTCGCTGCCGCCGCCGCCGCCTTGACAAAGCAAAATGGTTGCTTGGGATATGGTTTGAAGAAGGGCGAGAAAAAAAAACCAAACAGGCGGACGGCATTGCGCTGTCGTCGAGCTCAACCCTGAAACTGTTTCACATTTCACCTTCACGCTCTGATCAACGTCCTGACGCGTGAAACTCACAAACAACCATTGTGTACACCTTTTTTTTTGTTGTTGTTGTTGTTTGTTGCTCCAGACCCAGTGGACAAATATATCGCCGGCTCAAAGCGGGTGCGGAATCACATTCAGGAAGACGCGTCCGTCATGCGTCCGCCACCAGAAGAGGAGCAGCAGTACTTTACACTTAGCGAGGTTAAATCTATTCTTGAGCGGGCGCTCGAGGATCGCGAGAATCAACTTCGAGCTGAATACGACATTACATTGCAGCAAAAGCTGAGTGGTACGTTCGCTAGTTGTTGGCACGGATGTGCTTGCTTTCCCCGTAAACCTTGGCACTCACTCTGCGTTGCTTTGCCATGCAGAGCAATTCAATTCGTTTTCAAAGTTCAACGAGGACCACATTCATCGGCAACTCAAAGAGTCGACTTGGTCTTGTGAGTTTGTTTTGACTTTTTTTGTGTGTGTGTTTGTGTTGTTGTGCTCCCGTCAATGTATGTCTGCAGCTCCAGTGCTCATGTCTCTTCCACTTGCTGTGTCAAATTTTCACAGACATGTCGTAAAATGGTTGGAGCGAACGTATCTACCGCGCCTGCAGGTCGTTTCGCTTTGATTCTCTGTTGTTTGGTTGAACTGCTTTTTCGATCTCGTTGCTCTTCCCCCGTTTTTTTTTTCGGGCGGGGGGGGGGGCAACTCGTTTTCAATCTCCATTTTGTATCCATGAAGCACATACAATGAATTCGAACGCTCTCGCACAACGTCGGCTGAAATTACAAATAACTTTGGACAACTTTGATCGTCAAAAATGCTGCCGTTGTTGGCATTGTGTGTATGTGTGTGTGCGTGTGTGTCGACTTTTCTCTCATTTTCACATGTACCAAGACGTAGTTCAATCAGACCAGTGCACACATCACGAAAGAATCAATGTTCATTGTCAACCACGATCTCAATTGCCGTCCGAAGTTATGCTGGCATACGTCACAGCACCAACAGCCGGTGCTCCGCCGTTTCCAAGGACATCGTAAGTGTTCTCCTGCTGCTCATCAGAATGGTGCGGCGCTTCATACTGCGACGCCATCGTGACCTTCTCAGAGTCAAGGTCGCTGCCGCTGGCGAGCCCAGGGGCATTGAGCGTATCATAGACGCCATCCATTTCAGCGCCATGATCGAGCAGCGGGTTGGCAAAGAGCATCGTGGACTGCGGGGCGGGGGCTTCGGCGTTCGGCGCAGGTTTGCTGCGACGGCGACGAACGACAAGAAGCAGGATGAGCAAAAGAAGCAACAGCAGGACGACACCGCCGCCAGCACCGCCAGCAATCGCTCCGATGGGCAAGGAATCATTGGGGACGGGCGCGCAAACATGATCAGCCTTGCTTGCATAGTCGATCGGGCAGGAGGCGACGCATCGGGCGCCAAACTTGAAGTGCGCGCAGGAAACGCATTCCGTGTCCGCTGGGCCAGTGCAGCCGCCTTGACATTCAACGTGGCACGAGTATTGCGGGGTTTGAGTGGCTGACGCTGACGCTTCGGAGGCCACAGAGGCAGAAGCTGAGGCACGGGACGCTTCCGACGCTTCCGACGCAGCTGATTCTGATGATGCCGAGGCGATCGATGCAGACGATGCTGAGGCAATCGATTCTGACGATGCTGAGGCGATCGATGCAGACGATGCTGAGGCAATCGATTCTGACGATTCTGAGGCGATTGACGCAGATGATGCTGAGGCGATTGACGCAGACGATTCTGAGGCGATCGATTCTGACGATGCCGAGGCAATCGATTCTGACGATGCTGAAGCGATTGACGCAGACGATTCTGAGGCGATTGACGCAGACGATGCTGAGGCGACCGATTCTGACGATGCTGAGGCGATCGATTCTGACGATGCCGAAGCGATCGATTTGGAAGATGCTGAGGCGATTGATGCAGACGACGCGGAAGCAAGCGAGGCAGAGACTGTGGAGGCGACAGATGCAACAGTGGCTGAGGCTGTGGAAGCGGCAGAAGCAATTGAGGCAACGCTTGCAGACACGGTGGTTGCAATCGAAGCAGAGCTTCGGGAAGCAACCGACGCTCGCGTGGCCATGCTGGCAGCCGAGCTGACGGACGGCAGCGCCAAGGGCAAGTCAGGAGCTGCGAACATGATGGTGGACAGGATCGAAGCCATCAACTTGTCGCGCTCGTCTCGCGAGTTGATCGTTTCAAAAGGGAAGGCAAGCAAGAAGGAAGCATAATATCCTGCCGTGCTGCGTGAGCTGACACCAGCGACATTCGTCCCAGACGAAGGGCCGTAGTACAGCGCCGCTGTTCCTGTGCCTGCTGTGCCGATCTGATCCGGCGAGCTGACAGCGTATGGGTTCCCCAGTGCCACAATGCTGTTGAAGGCCACAGTGCCGCTCATGGTGAATCCAGCGTTCGGGCGAACAACGAAAGTGTTTGCATTGGCGTTGACAAAGGTGGACTTGAGTTGACTGTTGAGGAAGGTGAGGCTGGTACTGCCCGCAGCACTAAGGCCAGCAGCGACATTCGAGCCACTGACGAAAAGCGAGCGAGGGCTTGCAGAGGAGGCACCTGCAATCCACGAGTTGATGGCGGTTTGCGCAACAGCAGGGAAGACATTGATGTTGGCGGCCGTATCACCCGACGCCCAGACAACCGCCTTGTACGCGGCGAGGTTGTTGGTAACCCATTGGGACTCAGAAAAGATGTCTGCAGATGCAGAATCAAACGAGTAACCGGCTCCAGCAATCGACAGGGCGTGCTCGACCACATACTCCCGCGTGTACCGACCCTCGATGTTGGTAGAAGTGTGCACAAAGCCTTCGACAAAGCAGTCGACGATGACAATTGGCGGACGAGTGACACCAACAGCAGGGTCGGTCACGCGCGCCGCTGCCGTCCATTTGGTCAACGCTTCGCCTCCTGCATTGAGACCGGCAACCTTGAAAAAGTAGACTTGCCCGACTGTCAAAGATGTAACGTCGTAGCACAAGCTGTTAAGGTACGTAAAAGCGGCGACGATGACTCCATCATCCCATCCGCGTCCATCGGTAGACCGGTAAATCTTGAACGCGGTCGCAGCGTCAGTGGACTCTTGGGTGTCGTCAGGTTGGCGCCAGCAGACTCGAACCACGTTGCCGCCTTGGTTGATGGTGTGCAGGTAGTTGACAGGGAGCGGAATGATGGTGGCGGTCGATGAAAAGTACTTGGCAATGCCCTTGTAGTATGCGCGCCCGAGCTGTTTGATGGAGGAAGAAGATTCGTGTGAGATTCCATGCGCCAGCTCATGAAAGCAAAGACCACAGCGTACGTACATTCTCGCGACCCGCTTCGGACTGAGCCAGTAGCATGTCTACATTGTTGGAGGCGTAATAAGGAATGGCCATCATGGTGGGCATTCGTGAGGACGAATCAAGCGGCGCCCATTGATGAAGGTTGTTGGCTTTGTCTAAAAGACCCGTTGAAACTGCGGCCGCATGAATGACGTCGCGGAAGCTATCCGAAGCGGCCTGCAATGAGGAGTTGTAGATCGCCGTACTGGTGATGCCCGTGTATGACGAGGTACGACCCTATCGAGCAAAATCATTAATCAAAGAGTACCGCGAAAAGCACACATTCCGTTTCATGCACTTACGTTGCTGTAGCTGAAATCCTGGGTGCCACGAGTTGCGGAGTCGCTAGTAGCGGTGCTCACAAGGTAGAAAAGCGCCCAATTTTGCCAGTTGGCAGTTTCCAGATCGCCTTGAATCATCTGCTTGCTGAAATCAGCCATCGCTGTTGCCGAGCTCGTGCTGACAGTGTAGTTCATGTAGGTCAAAAAGCTGGACGTGCCGTAGTGGAAGCGAGGATAGCCGCCAAGGGAACCGCAACCGACGCGAACTGCATCCACAATGACATATCTGCCAGCGTCGACGGCAAAGTCAAGCTTGTTGGAAACTTCGACGCGAAAGCCTGTCTTGGTAAAGTAGTAGCGACCGGCATACATCCACTGCCTGCTGTACATGTTTTGATTCATGTACAGGGTAGTTGTGCCACCAGAATGGAAGATTCGAATGAGCGTGCGAGAGGCACGGTTTTGGCCGTCGCCCAAACCACGAATGTACACGGGATAGTACCCATCGGCGGCAAGGGTGGTCACGAAAGCTGCGACGGCTGTTTCTGCATTCAGGTTGCCAAATACGTACGAGTGGTAACCGAGGAACCCAACGCCGTAGGAAGTCCATCCACCAGTTTTGATGCAGTTGGCAGATTGATCGTCCAGAATCTGCTCGTCGGACGTGCCAAACCAGCGCTCGCGTGTCATGAACACGGTTGCACCCGCGTTGGCGAGGTACTCTTGAGTGTAACGAATCATGATCTCGTTATGATAGACATCGGGCAGCTGGGAATTGAGCCCCATGTTGTATTCGTAAGCATTTGAGATGGAGTTTCGTCCACCGTCAGGCGCCAACACGACACTGCGACCAGCAAGTTGCGGACGGGTGGTCTTGGCCGCGTTCATCCAGGGCGTCGGCAGACCGTGGATGTCTGCCAATGCGCTTTGAGGAGCGCAGCAAGCCAGGAGAAGCAGGGCGACAACAATCCAACGAGGCTCCAGATTCGCCATTTTTGGACCTGGTTATCCTGTTCAAGTCAGGTCAGCAAAAACTGAAAAAGAAAAACAAAAACAAAATTAGCAGACGAAATACAATGTGTCACACGCAAATCATGCGATGAGTATTTGGTCTTTCGATCGACAGACTCAGGCACACACTCATGCACTGACACGCACACACACACACACTTACACGCACACACACATACACACACACACTCACACACTCACACACACACACTCATTCACTGATATTGCGGTCGCTCACCCATCGCGAAAAGGCGCTTTGAGAATGGAAGCAGTGATTTGGATTTTGTCTGGTGAGCGTTTTTTGTGTCAGCTCATCTACCGGCTCTTTTTGTTTTCGCCCCATTCGAGGGTCGCTCCATAGCCAAACAAGCTTGTGTCTTTACTTGTCGTATGACACAAGGGAACTGCGTGCGATACAATCATGCGAGGGCCTCGGCGTGGCATCCAAGCAAATCAAGGATGCAAAACGCACACGGGAACAACAACAAAATGAAGCAGATGTTGTTGTTTTCACCCGCCATCTACACTTTTCTCTCTCTCTCTCTCGCTCTCTCTCTCTCTCTTTCGTGCGCCCTTGCTCGTGTCATTCAATGTGCTTTTGGTTTGGTGCATGGCAAGGGCAAGTGCGCGATGCACATGCTCAAGCACCGATGTGTCAAACCGCATCAACAAAGCAAACAACAAACACAAAACAAAAAGCGCACACGAGAACAAAAACAGCAAGTTGTTTGTTTGTTTGCTTCCGTTTTGTTTTTGCCTGATGAGCTCTCACACAAAGTGCAAGGCTAGCTTTGTCATGCCCCAGTTGATCTCAAGAGTTTCGGGTTGCATGTTGAGATGGGGTCGAGGCGTGGAGTTTGATGTTACCGTTGCTTCAAATTGATTGAAAACGAAACAAAAGAGAAAAAACAAAAAGGGCACCTCAACAAAAGGATTCACCAAAAGAAGAAACCACAGAAGAAACCACAGAAGAAACCACAGAGGAAAAGAAGAAGAAGAAGGAAAAAAAAAAAAGAACAAGGAGAAGAAGAAGAAAAAAAAAAGAAAAAGCAAGAGTGGCACGCTCAAGCCTTCATCCACTTTCCAAAAATCGCAAATTCACAAGAGAGTCAAAGTACTGACGCGGCTTTTATTGACAAAGTGGCTTCCAACACTGCTATGCCCCGATTTGCTTTTGCAACCGCACGTGCGCAATTCGATCCAGTGCGCGCCTTCGAAGGAACATGGTTACTGCCGCTGCCATGCCAAACAGAAGGTTGAAGGTCTGAGAAAGGCAGCACAGACTGTGAGTTCAACCGTGCGAACGCTGTCCAACTACGCACACGCTGGCTGCGCTTACAAAGAACTTGTAAAACGCTCGACGTTCTGGCACCAGGGATCGCGGACAACTGTTGAACTCGCAGGGGATGTGAGCGGGAAACTTGTCTGACAAGTCCATGAGCAATGTATGTATGTACCTTTGGTAAACGGTCGCCGGAGGATTATCCGCAAGCGAGCACTCCAGCTGTTGCTTGTTCCCCCACGGAACACAGTAAGGTTTGAGCCTCTGTCAACAACGCCAAGAGCGAGATGAGTCGGACAAGTTTGTGTGCAGCGAAAAACACCTTCTGCAAATCTTGGAGGGGACAAAACAGTTACCGCCTCGAATCGTGCGCACTCTTCGCATTCACCGACGACCTTGCAGTTCGATGCCGTGAAGAGCGACTCTGCTGCTGGTGGAGAGCTTTCGTGGTCGGACGGACCGCCACGTCGGCCGCCGGTCGCGTGAGCTTGATCCGCCGCGCCGTCGCCGTCTGCACTTTGCGGCTTGTGAGTAGCAACGCCATTATTGTGTCTTCGCCTTGATGCTGGTGGTTGCAGCAGTGGTTGCTCTGCATCAGCCAGCAGCGCTCGGACTGAGTTTCGGTCATCATTGTGGCTGGACAGTGTTGATGGCGCGTGCTCGTTCTGCAGCTGCTGCAGCACCCTACGACCTGCGTGATGACTGTGTACTGCGTTGTGTGGTGGTGGTGGCGGCGGCGCAGCAAGTGCAGTGGACGCAACGGCTGTCAGCAGCGCCACGACGACCACAATCGCAATCTGAGCCATCTGAGCGATCTGAGCTGTCTGAGCTGTCGGAGCCGTTTGAGGAAATTGGCGCCGTCGTGCCCTAGTTTGACTCTGTTGCATTGGATGCTGCTGGTCTTGTAATTGAAATTGAACAACAACAGAATAAAAAAAAAAAAAAAAAGACTGAGAGTTCAGTTTGCATTGAAATCCGACGTAAATGATTCCAGTTATTCTCAGTCTGTTATGACTACTTGTTGATTTCGTCCATCATGGTCGGCAGTGCGCGGCTGCAGGCGGTTGGCATCGCGCTCGCCAAGCTCAAGGCTCAATACGAGGACTTTTTCCTGCAGAACGCTGCTGCAGTCCAGCAAGCCGAGTCGCTCCTGCGCTCCCTCAGCTACTTTGTCCCAGGTACTACTCCACTACCAGATGGATTCATTGCATTGGAGGTTGGGGGGGGGGGGTTTGGGTGAAGTGAGTGAGATTGAGCACTTCCGCTTGCAATCCCGCTCACACACGCTCACTCACTTCGCTTTTGGTCTCGTTTCGTTGGGTAGCCAAGTTCAAGAGCGCAGACGAGCTCGGCGAGCTCCTCTATGCGCTGGTCTCGCTGCTGGGGCTCCACAACGACGCCATTCTGCGCCGTCGGCTTGTTTCAAGTCCAGAGTTTTACGCATCGCAGAAGGTGCTGCGACGCTCGGCCGCCTACGAGCGCATCGCGACATGGCTCGGAGTCGTCAAGCAGGTGGAGACGTTCGTTGAGCTCGCAGCGCGCAGAACAGGTGGCGCCAAGCTGCGATGGACGGTGATTTGGGTGATCGAGTTGGCAAAGTCAGTCGTGCACCTTCTCAGACATTCTGAGACAATTTTGATAGTGCGGCAAATTCCATGTAGGAAGGCAAGTGTACTCACTTTTGGTGTTGGTGTGGGGCTCGCCAGATTTATACTGCGCGCGGCATTGTTGTTCCGGTCCAAGTGCGACTCGGGCTTGCTCGTCAATCCGCCATTGCCGCCAATCCAACGAGAGAAAGCCACCGCGCTGTTGGCCAAGTTACAAGAGCAGCAGTCGGATTCGGACGTGCAGGAGTCGGACGCATCACCACCTGCGTCGGTGTTTTCCACGCCAAAGCGCGAGATTGCACCGCCATCCGTGGATTCCATCTTGTTCAATGCGCGATCCATGCATGAGCGTCGACAACAGCAGCCTGGAAATCTTGCCTCCGAGGAAGCCCGAGAACGACTGCAACAAAATCTCGTACCAGTGCCCGGCGCCCCGTATGGCACAACCCCACGATTTCAACGGCGACTCACCCGTCCGCCGTCACACGCAGAAGAGCTTCGTACACCTCTTTCGCGGCGGCAAATGCAAGGCGAACTGCTCCACATGGCCCGCCCGCTTGTATTTTGTGAGAAGGAAGTGTTTTCTCAAAGTGTTTTTGCCTTTGGTGCTAATCTCACGTGTCGTTGCGTCTTGTTTTTGTTTCTTGCAGTACTTGTTGCGCGCTTTGCTGGCCACAAGAGCTGGTCCGCATGGGGATCTGCGCTCGCAACAGACATTGCGAGTAAAATTCTCTCGGGCGATTCGCGCGATATGCACGAGGAAGAGCGAGGAGAACTCTCTCGTCGCTCCGGCCTGCTCGTGTACTATTTGATGCGTTCGCCAATTTACGACCGATTCACGAGGTATGGCAAAACAAACAAACAAACAAACAAACAAACAAACAATAAATACCAGCATTTATTGCGTTTGGCTGTCGTTCGTGCTTTGCTGATGCTGCTGATTTGTGGAATAGATCGATCGTCATCTCCGCCGTTAACAAGCTCGGCCGTCTCTTCCCGTTGCTGGGAGGCCTGACTGCTGGTAAGCACCGTCTCGCGTTGGGATTCAACGTGTTTATTCACTCCACGATGTTGATTTCGTGTCTTCTAACTCTGTTTCCAACCTTGGCGTGCTCAGAATCGGTGACAGACTATCTAGAGTTGTGGCAAGACACATACTTTGATATCTGGGAATCTTAAGTTCTGCAAAGTAATAATAAAACGGTAAAATTCGAACACCGTGAATCGAGCCGATTCTTCATTTCCTCCAAGGTTCAATCGACTTGCTTGTTCGTTTCACACAAAAGTACTATGCAAGTCCATTTCTCTCGCTATTTTTGCTCAGTGACTCTGTGACTATGAGCATGAATACCGAGCACGGATTTGGAAAGAGTCGGATCGCTTGGAGTTTTTGTGTCTCCAAGCTCCTTACACCCATGTCCATGCGCCCGCTCCTTTCTCCGTGGTTTTTGAGTATTTTGATGCTTTTCCACTCTCTCCTCCCAATAAACTTAATACAAAAAAAACACAGTAGTTACGTTCGAATTCGACAAAACAGAGAGCGGAAAAGCGCGTCCAACCTTTCCGGCGGTCGGTTTTGAAATTTGAACGACCTACTTTCATCCGGTGCTTCTCTGTCACGGACTGCTGATAGATCTAGTACAAGGTTGTGCGTCTCTCTTCCAGTGCATTATTGTTGCCAAGCCATTGGTACAGTACTGGAAAGATTGAGTTGTGAATTAATCTCTTTTGAATTTGCAAATTTCACTTTGAAACAAATACGACTAAAGGAGAGGTTGGGGTTGATCTGCAAGCGCAACTATCTTCTGCACCTCGAGCAACGTTGTAGGGCTCTGCTCGAGCAGCTGGGAGAGTAGACCGTCTTGATCACGCAACAGGTGACGCTTCAGAGCCCGAGCTGCATATGTCGAAGCGGCGTTGCTGTTTAGATCAAGCTGCTGCTGCAGGACTTTCGTACCGCCGACCTCCAGCGAAACGGCAAGCAAGCCGAGACCGAGAAAGTCGGCTTGCGGAGTGGCGACCTTCGTCGAGCGCGCAATGTCGTAAAAATGGTTTGGCCACATCTCCCACGCGTTGTGTTCGACGCGATCGAGCCATGGTTGGAGCTCCTGAGCAGCTGCGACAGTCACCGGCGCCGCCAAGAGTGCTGCTTGCACATGCGCGCGCGTCACAGCTGGAAGGAAGCAAGCAAGCCCAAAATCGATCAACGCAATCGAGTGAGGTGGCAACTTAACGGCGCCTTCCGGCGGCGGTTCGAGGGCGCCTTTGGGTGGTGAGGCCGGTGGCGTCGACGGTAATTTTGGCTCAATGACGAGCAAGTTTCCACGATGAATATCGCCGTGCACCACTCCTTGCTCATGAATCCATCGAAGCGTGTCGCAAACTTGAGACGCAAAGCTTGCTGCATGTGGTTGGTGCTGTTTCCAGTCAACACTCTCGCCAAGAATGAAGCCCGTGACCAACGCCAGCCCAGGCATTCCATTAAAATCGGCAGTGCAGAGAGCTAAGAGCTCGGGAATGCGATGAGCTGAAGCCGCCATTCGGTCACGGTTGAGGAGGGCTAGCGCCATGCCCGCCCGCGCGAGCTGTTCTGTGAGCGCCATGCCGATTGCGGGGGCAAACTTGACCACAACATCGCTGAATTCCGCGCTCGCGTTCAGGCTGAGCTTGCCGGTGAACATGAAATAGCGATGAACCTCCTGCGCATCGAGCAGAGGTTGCGGCCCCGTTGCCTGAGCAATGTACAGTATGACACGAACAGAAAAAGACGTTGAGACAAGAGTTGCACAAGCAGCGCACGATACACCAAACCGAACTTTACCAAATTGAGAACAAGGGAGTTGGCCTGCCCTCCATCGGTGGAGGTACCATAGCCGGCTCCAGGGTCGTGTTGTGTGGTTGCATCATTGCCGGGTGGGGCCTGTCCGCTGGGTGGGTGGCTGTCCGCCGGGTGGGGCTCCGCCGGGTGGGGGCCCTGGAGGACTCTGAAACTTGAAATTGTACCTCCAATCAAAATCGCCGACGAATGATCGCTCCGACATGTCGTTGATGATGGCAGTTCTCAAGAGGAATAGAACTGCTCGGGCTGGTTCAGTATGACAAAAAGTGATCGCAGGTTGAATGAGCTTGCCATCCAGCTTCAGATCGACTCGGACGACGTAGACAATGCTGCCGACCCAAGCCATGCCGTACAGAGTTGCTGGCCACGATTGAACACTGGCCGGAATCTGCGCGTCGTTGAACGTCAGATAAAAGTAAAGCAGATAACTTGCGAGTTGCAGACAAGCTTGATGAACCAGATCATGCTTTTTGCCTTCGACCATGAACAGGCTGTGAGTGCCAAGAATGGCAATGGATGTGGACACACGGGAGCCAGTTTTAGATGAGCCCTTCACACTTGACGACAGGGATGAGGCAGAGCGTGCCGTGGATCCGACAGGCGGCGTTGCGTTGCGTGTGGATGAGCCAATGGTAGAGGCAGCGCTAGCGGTAGTAGTAGTCGAAACAGGCGCTGGTCCATTGGCCCGCAGACTTTTGGGAGTCGCAACGAGATCTGGAGCGAACGACCCTGCAGCGGTGACATTAAAGTCGACCTGTGCACCAACCAGATCACATACTTGCCGGCAGAAAGCGGCGATGAACTCATGCATGTCCTCTTCCTTCACTGCCGAATCGATCATCGATAACAACCGTCGAAGCTCAGAATCATGCGGGCTCAAGTCTGGCATGGAAAAGTTCAGCACGCGTCGCTGATCTCCTTTCATCTGCGAAACAAGGCGTGAAGCAAGCTTTGCATTTGTTGTCGATCCGAGCAAGGACACTACCAAAGAGCGTACAGTCACACGGAATTTCAGCCAAGTTGTCGCGTTCAAATGAGTACGGTACGTCAAACAACCGCTCGCTTACAAGTGCAAACATGGTGGTAAATGCCAGCTTCGACTTCTCGGTCCTTCTTCGCAATCACCGCGTTCTTGTCTGCAATCGCCTGGTCGACCGCCGCCTTCTTATCTGCAATCGCCTGGTCGACCGCCGCCTTCTTCTCCGCAATCGCCGCCTGCTTCTCCGCAATTGCCGCGTTCTTCTCCGCAATCGCCTGGTGGACCTCCGCGTTCTTGCCTGCAATCGCCTGGTCGACCGCCGCCTTCTTGTCTGCAATCGCCTGGTCGACCGCCGCCTTCGCTTTTTCCTTCGCAGCCTGCTTCTCCGCAATTGCCGTATTCTTGTCCGCAATCGCTGTGTTCATCGCTGTGATCAGCGCTGTTTGCAAAGGGTCGAGGGTTAAGGCTTGCATCTTGGCCTGCAGTTCCGCCATCTCGAAACAAAAATGAAGACTGGTTTCACCAGATTTGGACAGCGAAAACAAAATGTGCCTTATTAAAGTCGCCTTCCACGGGCCGTGGTGGTCAATTTCAGAGCGCTGGGGGATGGGACTGCATTGGAGAGTGCCCGAGGTCTCGATTTCCCGCGTTTTACCGCTTGTACGGGGACGTTTTGCTCGTGATGCGTCTCGGCAGTCGCGCGCCAAAACCCACTTGGCCGCCCGTCTTTGGTTCCTGGGCAGCAGCCTCCCTTTCCCCGTGCTTCCGGTCCGGATTCGTCAGTGGGCCTGTCGTAAAGTCGCGTAGATGATGTGTTGGAATCATGACAGACGCACTCGGAGTCGCTCTGCTGATGCTGCAGCGTTCAGAAAGTCTGGATTCAAGAAAGCAAGTAGAAGCTGGTTGTGGAGGCGAACGCAGGTCGGCCTTTTCAACTTGTCTGTTCGCGCACCCACGATTCACCTTGCTCGTCTCATGCAATGTGGAGATTGAACCTTTGTGCAGGACGCTGGGAGGCGTTGGAATCGACGAAGTGGTTCCAACCCCCGCCAAAACGCCGCCAAATGCCGCCAACGCCGCCGCATGCCACCAACGCCGCTGCCACCTCCAGTGCAGTGCAGCTCCGCATTCGTTGCTGTCCAGTCATTCCCGAACCCCTGGAAGAGGCTGAAGCATGCCTGTTGATCGATCGAAAATGAGGTTTTTGCTGCAACACTGCCAAATTTCCATACAGTTTGCACTTGGTTTTTTCCCTCCAGCAGCCCAAACAGTGCAGATGCTGCCTCAACTACTCAATTGTGCAACATACACTTCAATGTTGAAACAAGAGGCTGGAAAGCAGTCGGATCGTGTTCACCAATTGCGACGATTGTCCTCGTTTGATTCCTGCCACCAACGTTTGCTCTCCCCTCCCCCCTCCCAATTTCGAGGATTGTCTTCCCCATCCTGAAAGCGTCGATTTGATTTGATTCTGGGTTTCCTTGTTTGATCCATTCATTGCTCAGTTCTCTTTGTCTTTGCTTTGGTAAGGGGTTTTTTTTTTTTTTTTTTTAATCTTTGTCTTGAAACGGTTTCATTTTTTTTCTTTTTTGGTCACCACTTGTTCAGTCGATCGACTGTCAGTGGACGGCCATTCTGAATCTTCTCCACTTGATACAGCAAGCGTTGCAATGAAGATGGCGAATAGTGATTGGTCGCCGAGTGCGGCGGGGGTGTTCAGCGAGGGACGCGAGGGACAGCGATCTCACTTTTGAAAAAGGCACTCACTCTCACTCTCACTCAACACTCCGTCGTCCATGACTGACTGATACAGGCCGAGCGCATGTCTCACTACCGAGCACCTCCTTCGGCGTACTATGGCGGCAGTGGCAGTGGCAGTGGCGGTCCAGCCATGCCGCCGTCGCAAGCAGGTCCTGCTGCTCCAACGCTCTCGTCCATTGCGGCAGCGTCGTCAGGCAACTACTACCGTGCAGACGGGGGCGGTGCTGTCGGATCCGACCGCGCTTATGGTGCTCCTGTTGGCAGCGGAGCAGTCGCGTCGTACGCTCCGGGATACCCTTCCAACAACGCCCCTCAGCAACCCGCGCTGACCGATCTGTACGGCGGCGGCGGCGGCGCGCGTGGTGGTGCCAGTGGCTACGGAGCACAGCCAGCAACCAACTCTGCTTCTGGTGGATATGGCAGCGCCAGTGTCGCGTCTGGTGCGCAGTACGGTGTGATTGGCTCCGGTCTGTACGGCGGCGGTGGCTCGACAGCCGGCGGCCCTGCCTCAACCTCTGCTGCAGGCTCCTCGTCCTCCTCGTTCTTTTCGGCACCTCCGTCTTCCATTCCACGCTACGGCTCGTACGGTAGCCAGGGACAGCAAGCGCAGGCACCCCCGAGCCAACCGCCGCAGACAGCGACCTACCCGGCTCCCGTCATCTCTGCCGGCTACAACTCTCAATCTCAGGCCCCATCTGTCGGTGGCTATAGTGGATACAATGCAAACGCCGCCCCAGCGTCGTCCACCCCTTCGCAGTCCAGCTGGAGCAATCCGTCCATCCCCAACGCTGCGTCGTACGGAAACTCTGCTCCTGTCAGCTCGGCTGCACTGAACGCCGCGTTCGGTGGTGGCTATGCTAATCATGCACAGCAGCAGCAACAACAACCACAGTCGAGCTCCTACCTCAAGCCGGGTTACGGCGCTCCAAATGCATATGCCAATGACCAACAGGGCTATGCTGGGCCTGGCTATGCTTCTGCTGGACAACCGCAGCAGCCGCAGCAGCCGCCACAAGGCTACGGTTCGAACAACTATGCAGGTCAGGCTCAGAATGCCCAATCGCACTATTCTGGCCCGCAGTCTTCCTACCCGTCACAGCAGCAGCAGCAGCAGCAGCAGCATCAGCAACAGCAACAACAACCGCAACAGCAGTACCAGCCGTCGGGTGCTCCGTCCTATGGCGGCGGTGGATACGCTGCTCCAGGCGGAGAGCAGCGCTCTGGCTACGCCGATTCCCAGCAACGAGGAGGTCGTGGCAACTCTTCCAGCTATGCCCAGCCTGCTCCTCCCGCTCAACAAGTCAGCGGCTATGTCATGCCTGGCGGGTACGGACCGCAGGGAGGCAGCCGATACGACAGTCACCGCGATGGCAACGACAGCCGACGCGACGCGCAGCGCAGCGGCTACGACCAGCGTAGCGGCAGCGGTTATGACCAGCCGCAGCAGCGTGGTGGCTACGACCAGCCGCAGCAGCGCGGTGGCTACGAACCACAGCCGCCTCAGCAGCGCGGCGGTTACGATGCTCAGCGCGGTGGCTACGAACCCCAACAGCGCGGTGGCTACGAACCTCAGCCGCCTCAACAGCGCGGTGGCTATGATGCTCCGCGCGGTGGACCAGAGCCCCCGCGAGGTGGTGGCTATCGAGGAGGACCAGCGGGCTACGATCGGCGCGATGACGGGCCTCGCGACTTTGGTCGTCCCCGCTTTGATGATTTCGGTCGTCGGGATGACTTCCGTGGTGAGCCGCGCGACTTTGGTCGTAGCGGGTATGTCGGTCGCGATCGCGGTGGCCGTGACGATTTTGCACGTCCTGGGCGTCGTGATGAGCGTGACTTCCCTCGTGACTATTCTGACGGCCGCGACGGCCGACGTGAAGAGCGCCGCAGCGCTGGCGGGTGAGTTTCAGATCGACCAAGCTCTTTTTGGTTGTGTGTGTGTGTGCTAACTTGTGGACGTCTCATCACAACGCGTTTCTGTGCTTACTTGCTTTTCGCAGGCCGCGGTTTGACACGACCGCCTCTCGCACGCTCTTCCTTGGAAACCTGCCCTACTCTTTCAGCAAGAACGATGTGGAAGCGCTGTTTTCCAAGCCGCAAGAGATTGAGCTCATCACCATCAAGTTTGACGAGCGGACTGGTCATAACAAGGGCTTTGCGTTCGTGCGCATGCCTACCAGAGAGATTGCCGAGCAAACGCTTGCTTCCCTGCGTGACGTGACTGTTGGCGGTCGTCGTTTGCGCTTGGACTTCCATTACGAGCTGCCCGAAGACGCCGATCCATCGGCCTCTCGCTCCTCCGGTCGTCCGCGCTCTCGTTCCCGCTCTCGTTCCCGATCGCCTGCGCGAGGCGAACGCTCGAGGTCGCCTCCTCGACGTGAGCGCACATCGTCCAGTTCGACTGATCCCTCGGCATCCACTGCGCCGGCCACGTCTGGCTCGGACGCGAGCTCGAAAGGTGCCGCTGCTGTTGCTCATCCCGAAGGCCCAACAAGCACGGCACCACATTCAGATTCATTGACGGCTTGACACGGTGGAACCTAGCAACAAGGGGTGTGTGTGTGGGGGGGGGAATGGAAAGAAATGCAAGAGGGTTGAGGCTTTGGCGACTCTTGTTGCTGCGACGCGATTTGCTGTATTTCCAAGCTCCTTCAGTTCCTCGGTGATGAGTTTCCTTCGACCAACCATGCCATTCGTTGATTGTTGATGTTCGAGCCCCGATCCCGCGCGTGATTGGATTCTCGAGCCTCCGTTGAGCTGCTGAACTTTTTTTTTTTCCGTTGCTGTTGCTTTCTTTTTCTTTGTTTTTGTGTCGAGGCGTGTGTCATTTTTTTGTTGTGCGATTGGTGTTGACTTGCAGTTGATTCTATCGACGTCGATCTCCACGTTGAAAGTTGATATTCGATATTATTCTCTTTTTCGTTGATTTTTTCGTGTCGATGTTTTACCAGCCACTCGTGGTGTTGTTTGTTGTTTTCAAAATATTTAGTTTTGAATGGGACTGAGTCTGTTGAAAAATCGAGTTGAGTGGAATTTACAATCACACCTTCTGCGAGACCTCAAGACTCGGTGAGACAAAGAGGAACTGAACACTGATCGGTTTATCAAATTGCGCTTGGGTCCATACAGCAAACCTCATGCAATAAAATCTGTCAAAGCAATCAAATTTGCATTTTGAGGATGTCGTACAATGATGCCTGCGCGCACCAAGAGCTCGAGGTAGGGCGGGTAGTGGGTCGGAAGCACGCGAATGTACGGGTCGACGTACGAACTGGCAAATCGATTCAACAACTCCTGCAACCAACAAAGACACACACACACACACACACACACACACACACACACACACACACACACACACACACACACACACACACACACACACACACACACACACACACACACACACACACACACAAAGCAAACGCAATAGTGAAGGTGCCGCACAGCCAGCATACACACGCGAAATAAGCGCCTCGTACCTCCAATAGTTTGCGTAATGGGATAAACACGCGAGTGCGTTTGCGCAATCCGTCTCCGTTGGAAGTGTCCATGGCGTCGTTGTCGTCGTCGTACTCGTCGGCCTCCGTATCGTCCTGAGACAAGGGCGGGTAGTAGTCCGTCACAAAATCACCCAGAGCCTTCATGAGCTTCCTGCTGTATTCGTTCATAGCTTTTGACTTTCCCTCGAGTTCGGCAATGGCGCTGCGTTTTACGGAATGGTTGGCGAAATGCCGACAAAAGCCAATAGTTAGTAAACAGGCTCAATTACAACCCCCATCGCCCCATCTCAGTGTGTTTGCAGGGAAAACACTCATCCGTTCATACTTTGCTACTTCGGCGCCCTGATCCTCTCCATCGATTTGAAGAACTTTGTTTTGAAGCGCCTGGTTCATTTCTTGGTGTTGAGCGATCGCCTCTTGACAGCTGTTGGACGAGAAAAAGGGGAGGGGGTGAGGGTCGAGGTTCACAAACAAAAGTCAACGCACAAAAACAAACGACGCCGTGCATATGTCTGGGCCAGCGACATACCGGGCAATTTGCAAATCAAGCGACGCAGACTCGCTTTGCATGAAATCGATCGACTCGCGAAGCTGGATGACACTCCGTGCTACCGATTCAATCACCTGCTCCTTCAACACGGGCACCGGCATCGATTGAAACGTTTCTATCCATTTGTCAAGCAGATAGAGTCCAGTGAGGAGGGTTAACTGCACGCAAAGAGCACCCAAAAAAAAAATCCGCGAGTGTTTGAAAAACAAACAAAATGCTCGAACAAACCTTCAATTCCTCGTGACGAGATTCCTTCGAGCTCTGCGCGCATGCGGGCTACCTTGAGTTGACGCAGGATGGTTTTCTGTCCCATTTCGATTCACAACATGTCAGTATGCATCGAGAGCGAGCAAGCCAGATACAAGGCCAGTTGACATACATGATCCAGCTCTTTCGGAAAGTCTTGCAAGCTCCGCGGCTGCTTTTCAAACGCGCCGGCTGCCACTTCCGGCAATTGTGTGTGAATCTGTTCACCAAACATTCCATGTCGGTTGAGACCAGTGTGAACACCACCACTTGAATGATGATGATGATGATGATTTTTGGCGGGAACAAACAGTTTTCAAACTCTTTGGGGTTTGATTCGACCGCCATTGGAGCATTTGGAAGCGAACGAGTCGCCGCCTAATACCAAGCTCAATGAAGCGCATGCATACCTCAGCCAGGCCCGTCCAGAGCTGCTTGCTGTCGTCCTGCAGCAGTTGGAGTGCTTGAGCGCGATCCCGCTGCCTCGCTGCTTCTGCTGCTGCTGCTGCTCCTGCTCCTGCTCCTGGCGCTGCGGACGACATCCACGCGTCGCTGTCACTACTGCTGGGTTGGTTTGCCCATGGCAGCGGTCGGACGAGCGCGTCCATTGAAGCGGCAGTCATTCGCGCCACTGGCGCAGGGACTTGCAGCGCCGGTCCGCGCCCAATGCTCGCCAGCATGCTCTCGAGTCGCCGCGTTGTTTCTTCCATTGTCTTGGTGTTTTTTTTTGCAATGTCCCTGTCTGACTTGCGTTTGTTGACTTGAGTTTGTTGAGCGAGTGAAGCGACCTTGACTTGGAGTGAAAACAGAGACTGCTCCCGGGTCTGAGCGTTTCAGTTCAATGAAGCTCTCTTTTTGCGATATGTGCTTTGAGGGATGGAAGGGGCGGGGGAGGAGGGGGCCGCTTCTACGGTAATACGGCCATGTACCCTGAGAGCGACTCAGTTTCTCACTCACTCACTCACTCACTCACTCACTCACTCACTCACACCGAAACACTTCCTTTTGTTTGATTTTGGATTGTTTTTTTCCATGTCATTGCTGTTTTTTTTTTTCTTCCTTGTGTTGGTATTTTGTATTTTGGCTTCGAATCTGAGAAAACCCGAATCCAAACCCCAATACAAACCCCCAGCACAAGAACAGTATGGGCGTTTCTCGCATGAGAGCGGCGGCCACCCGGGGCCTGGCGCTGGAGCACCACGTTGCACGACGAACGCTGCACACGCTGCTGGCGGCCGCGCTGCTTCTGCTTGTGATGCTTGGCGGCAGCAGCAGCGGCAGCAACAGACTGCTCAATCCGCTGGGAGCAGCGCGCACTGATCCTGCGTCCCGGCCATCCTGCGCTGCTCCTTCAACGCCAGTGGCACGCTCAATGCTGCTGCGTCCATCGTCCACTCTGCTGCCGACGGGCGGTGTTGGCGGCGTCTTGTTCGCTGAAGCCGCTAGCTCCTCCTCTCCCAGCGAACAAGACCAACCGGACGGGCTGCAGGCCGCAGCAGGCAATCCGCCGCCGTGCCAGTACGACTCGTGTGACGACCAGCGAAAGTGCTCGCAGGACTGGTGCGACGCGGTGCTCGGGTGTGTGCACGATCACGCCGATTGCGCCTACGAGAGCTTCATGACGAGCCCGTCCGCTCGCATCCCGCAGGACATTGTACTGGCGTTCGAGCTGCTCGACAGGCCTCATCTGAGTGTGAATTGCTCCAACTTTCGCGCAGAGAGCCGCGGCATCATGGATATTGTTCGTCGCTGGCTCGCGCCGCCAAACAGCCCCGCCTCCACTGCGGACGAGCAAGGGCGAATTCGCTTTGATGCCGAGGACGTGATTGCTCTTGGAGGCACGCCTGGCTATGCTACAGCGAACGCGCGCTTTGCCGTGCTCGGGTACGGCCATCACGACGGGCCCGTTCTTCTCCAGGACTTTACCTCCGATCCCAACACGCTCCGCATCGTGATTGCACGCCACTTTTATCAGCCAGCGCTGGTCGCATGCTTTGGCTCCAATCTCGGAATGGACAACTCGGACGAAGACACGGATGCCCTCGATCACGAAGAGTCTTTGGGTCGCGACCGAAACGCGCAAAACTACCGCGACCAAGCGCACACGGAGGACGAGGCTGACGCGTACTTTGACTCGCCGGCCGCTGCACTGCTCGACACTATCGTGCACGTGGTGGACGGCTCCGAGCTGACCCGCTTCGACCAAGCGCAGCAGCAGACCACTCGCTTGGGCTTCCGCACCAACGCCGAGCCGCATTTGCTGATTGTCTCGGGTATCCTGCGGTACAACGCTGGTCTGCAGTCGCACGACGAGGCGAGCGTCGATCGGTTCTTTATGCAAGCCATCGAGTTGCTTGCGGCCATCCCGCGATTCGTGCCCCGAGAAATCATTCCCTTCCCTCCCACCAAACCGCTCGCAGCGCCTACCATCAACATTGTGCTCTCATCCACCGACAAGAGCATGGTTTCGACCTTTGGCAACCCCGCCCTCGTCAATGCCTACACGGACTTGTCGCACTTCAACCCAGCCGTCACGCTCAAGGCGCTGCTTGCAGCAGGCGCCTCTCAAGGATCGTCCTTCCTGGCCTATGCCATCTCGAAGGGCCGATTCTGTCGCACGTGGGACATTGAGCAGCTTGGGTTGAGTGCTGCTCAGATTGCCATCATTCCCAGCTCGCTGCACCCAATGTTCCCGTCCAACCAGCTGTTTGACCGATGCCTTTCGGGCGGCTGTCTTGCGTCGCCGCTTGATTCCACGTGCGACCTGATTCCAGTCACTTGCTCGGACGACCAGTTCTGCTCGCCTCTGCACGGGTGTGTGCCGTTGAGCGCCGCTCGCGTAGACTCTGAGACTGCCCCAGCTGCAGCGCCGTTCAGCGTCGCCGAGGAATACGAGGACGTCGAGGTCGAGGTGGAGACTGTTGAAAAGCGCATTGAACATGGCAAAGAGGTTGAAGAGATCAAAAAGACCATCGAGGTGCGCCGTGTCCTCGTCAGCGCCGTCAACAAGGCGGAGGACAAGCCGCATTACTCTGTCAAGAAGCAGGCCAAGTTCGATACGAGTCCAGAGTCGGTCAACGCGTTTGTGCCGGTTGCCCCGTACGAACCCGGACGCCAGTGGACGGTTGATCACATTACGTACCGGAATGTTCGGGTTGTGGTAAGGAGTCGATCTTGCAAATGATTGATTGATGGGAGGCTGACTTTTTTTTGTTTTTGTTTTTTTCTCATTTCTTCCATCCCTCTTGCTGCTGCCCTTCTTCTTGTTGTCCTTCTTCGTGGTGGCGGTTGCTGTTGCTGTTGGTCGTCGTATCGTGGCGCGCCCCCCCCCCCTCCCCGCCACTTGGCTCCCGACAGAACTGGACTCCCGACAAATCCTTCATCAAAAAGTTCAAGCGCTTGAAGGAACCGGTCATCCTCCGAGGCACGGTGGTAAATCAGTGGCCTGCCAGGACCAAGTGGACGCTCCAGTACTTGTCTGCTCAGCTCGGCTTGGACGTTCTGCCGGCGGTCAAGCGCAGCCCAATCAAGAGGTTTTTCGACCCCGACACCCGCGCGCCACTCGCCAAATTCATGAACATTACGAGCACATACGAAGTCGTCGATCTCCCGCGATCCGAGTTTTTCGATCAGTTGATTGCATCCACCCCTTCGCTTCGTCACAGCACTTTGCCGTCTGAGGCCGACCTCAACCGAATTCGCGCATTTGCCACGCAGCAAGCGAACGGCGAGATTGGACCCCCGCCCACGGACGGCTCCCGCGACCCACATGCCGGCCTTCGCCTCGCCCATGGCTTTTTCACCCGCATCACGCCGAGTCTGCTGCCCGACATCCAGTCGAGCGAGCCCATGTTCTACTCGGAGGAGGACATTGAGCTTGGAAATCAGTTCTTGTGGATTTCGTCCGCAGGCGTCAAAACACACACGCACTTTGATCAGGACATGAACGCCTACGCCCAGATTACGGGTCGAAAGCGATTCACGTTCTTCCCGCCTTCGGAGCACGAGCTCATGTACATGTTCCCGCGCATCCATCCCATGTGGCACAAGTCGCGAGTGGACTTTGACCAGCCCGACTTGGAGCGCTTCCCGCTTTACCGCAATGCGCACGCGTTGCGCGCAGATCTCGAGCCAGGCGACCTCATTCTCATCCCACCTTACACTTGGCATCATGTGGAGTCGTTGAGCGCGTCCGTGTCTCTCTCCACCTGGTCGCACGACTTTGCCGTGTACGACAACATGCACGCAGTCTACCGTCACGATCACATGTTTGACCTGCTGAAAAACCCTCGCGGCAAGATTTACGCCCTCCGACTGTACATTGAGCTTTTGGTGGATGAAGTGTATGGTGCGAATTCGTTGAACGATGTCATTGCCAATCTGCTGAGAACGCGCTACTATGGTCTCGAGCAGCTCTTCCCGGCTCATCCCGACGATCCGTTCATGTGCTACGGTGACAACCACGACGACCATGTCATCCCGTCCGCCAAGCACATTTTGGGCTACGCCAACTTTGACGTCCGCATCATGGCGCCCCATTTCCGTCACTTTTCCGCCGAAACGCGCGACATTCTCTTCCGCAACTACCTCGAGGAGCTTGCTGCAGGCGTCACCGGACCACAGCGCGTTTATGCCTTCTTCCGCTACTGCTTCAACGGCGAGACGTTCTATTTCACCACTCCGCAGGATGCTGAGCATTCGCTGTGGGATTGAAAACGAAAAAAAGAAAAAACAAACAAAAACAAAAGGTTGTGTTGGTGTGGTAGTTTGGTTATTTGTATTCAAAATTAATGGTTTACTGACAATCGATGGTCTGTTATTTTTGTTGGGGTGGGGGGGGGGAGGAGAAGAGAGAGAGAGAGTGAGAGAGAGAGAGACCGGTTGTCGCCTTTCGTTTGATGAAACTCCGAAGACGAATGTGGAAGCAACTCGAATCAACCAGTCAATGGTCCAAGCCAACGGTTTACAAATACAACAAATACCACAAACACACACGCACGCGCACAAAAGAAGAGTGATGATGAAGAATGGTCAAAATAGCAGACGATATGAAAGTCCGCAGCGAATATAAAAAAAAAAATGGATGAGAGGAGTTTGAACAACTTGCAGCTCGCCTAGAGGGCACCGCGGCCGCCTTGAACCTCTCCGCCAAAAAGCAGCTTTTTGCAAAACTCGTACATGACAAAGCTGATGGACATGGAAGGCGCCACTTTCAAGCAGTTGGGCACCATGCCCTTATACAAGCCTCGGACGCCTTCCACGCGGATGATGGTTGTGAACGCATTGAGTGTAGATGTGTATGCGAACGAGGGACCTGAGCAGCCCTTCATCTGCATGCGCCTTCGGATGACATCGAACGGGTAGGTGACTGTCGCAAACAACAAAAAAAAAAAAAAAAAAAAAAAGCAAAGCAAAGCACATGAGGTGAGGTTGACGCACGTAGCGCGATAGGGGCATAAACAGATGCTTCTTGATCCGTAGACCGGATGACTCACTCGATTGCGCGGTGGCACCAGCAAGTGCGCCGCAAAGTAACCGCACAGGCACGGAAAGCTCTTTAACTTGCATCTGGTCCAGCAACCATCGCTTGATGGATTCGTACACGGTAAAGTTCAGTGCCACATAGGGAGCGACACCCTGCGCATACGAGCAAGGAAAGGGGAGAAGCGGAGGGAAGGAAGGAAGGAAGGAAGCAGGAAAAAAAAAAAAGGTGAGTCAAAAGTGAGTGCCTGCTTGCCGGATTCACACAAGATCTGAAAGAGCTGGAGCCACACTGACCATCAATGTGGGCGACAGACCACGGAATAGACCGCGTGCGCCACCTTCCTCGCGCAAAATTGTTCGCAAGCAGTCGTAGATGCCCTTGTACTTGCGATCGGGGCCTTCGCCCTGCGCGCTGAGGCGAGTACGGATGAGATCGAGTGGGTAGGTGGCGCAGACAGATGTGATGCCAGCCATGGCGCCAGCGAACAAGCGCCGCGGCGTGTTAAGGTCGTCCACCGGGGAAGGATAGGTGAGAAGGAGCTAAACAAGCAAAGACAAGTAAGTCAGCAAAGCGGTGGTGCAAAATCGCAAAATCCGAGCATCCTGGACGCTGAACACTCGTACCTTCTTGTACTGCTCGTAGGCAGCGAATTGCACTGCAGAGTAAGGAATCATGCGAATGACGTTGGTGCCGTTGCCTTTGAAGTAGCCCATCAAGCCCTCGGTCTTGAAGATGTGGACGAGCGATCGCCAGACCGTCGGTGCCTGTTCTTGCGCGGCCGTTGGCGTCAGTTTGATCTGTGTGTCGACGTGTTTCATGTGAGTTCGAGAGTCAATCGGTGAGAGATTGAGTGATTGAGTGAGCGAGCGAGTGAGTCGAGGTAAGTTTGAAGCGACAATGCAATGAGATTGGTGGATTCTGATGTTGAGTGCGTGTGTGTGTATGACTCGGGATGAACAGGCGGAGGAGAAGCGAGAACCAGAGAAACAGACAGAAAGAGCGCGCGGAGGATTAGAAAACCGTAGTATCATGAATCGGCTTTAAAAGCGGGATTTCACGCTACGACAGCTTACCACCGTCGCTTAGAAAATCCTACCTCCAAGAAGAGACAAAAAGGTCGCCGGTTTTTTTTTATTTTTTTGTTTTTTTTTTCCAATCTCAAGTCCATTCAAACTCCCCAAACCACCACCACCCATGCCTCCTGTGCATGCAACAAAAGAAGGTGAACTGACTTGGAATAGAATCTTGAGGCGCTCGAGCGGTGAGACGCAGGTGCGCGAGACAGCGCCTGCAACGCCGCCGGCAATGAGGAACTTGCCCGTCTTGATCGTCTCGTCCCACGTCCCAGCAGCACCCGATGACGATGCTGATGGTGATGATGATGATGATGATGGTGATGATGATGTGGCTGTGACGATGGCTGCGGTCGAGACTGCTGATGCTGGTGCTGCTGCTGCTGATGCTGAGCTCGCCATGTGGTGGTAGTCGAGGTGGGGGAACCGGAAGACCAGCGACCGACCACTGCGACGTGGGCGACGGCCGTCGTGCTGATCATCGGCGTGATCGTAAGAATGAGAGTGGGCGCTGGGAATGGCGCCGTAGAGTGCTGCGAGGCTCGCGTACGGAGCAAAGAAGGGCGAAAGCAGCGAACTCGGCGAAGAATCCCATTGATACTGATGCTGCTGCTGCTGCTGCTGGCGAGTATGAGGATGATGATGATGATGATGATGATGTTCTAGGTGCTCTAGATGGTAGTGCTGTGGTGGTGAAGCGACAGACATGTTTGGGTGAGTGAGAGAGAGACTGTCGCAATACAAGGAGTGAATCGCGTTCTGAGAAGAACAAAAGAGTGGAGAATACAAGTGTGATGTCTGAGGATGATTAAATACAAGCGGGAGAAGGAACTTGCAAGTGGAAAGGAGCAGTGTTCAAGTCGAGAAGAGGGATGAAATCCACTTTTGAAACAAGAACAAGGTTTTAGAATCGGTTGCGATTTGTGACAAAGAGACAGGGGGTCACGCGGGATGCACAGAGACACGGATGCAGCAACAAGGCCAGCAAGCATGAACGGCAGAAACGAGAAGCAGCGGGCTGCGATCGAATGAAGAGAAGGAGCAGAAAAGCCAAACTACCGTAGCTTTGTAGAAATGCTTCACTATAAACCACGTCCGAGGCAAACCGCAAAACCCACAAGCTGAGCGACGATGCAACGTCGCAGGCGCCAACGCGTGCCCACTCGTGCGCTCACTGCAGAGACACGGGAATACCGCAGACGAGCGAGAATAGATATTCTTGTGGGGATTCTGACGAGTCCTCTTGTCCCTCAAGCAGCCAACGTGTTGATCTCAGTCGTAGCTGCCAATGTCCATGAGCTACACCAGCTCAATCCGGGCGACCAAACTTGTGGATACTTCCGGGGCGCAACAACGAAATTCTTAGTGTGCTTCTCGTCCATCGTCGCGCTGTGTCTCATCAAAACCCAGCCCCATGGCGTTTCGTATACTTCATACACGCGTCGCTCATAGCGTGGCGTAGAGCTTGGTGAAGGTAAAGAACAGGTAGATGGTGGTGAGACCGAGGCCGTAGAAGACGGACTGCAGGATTGGGAATGGAAAGGCGCCCGAGACAAAGACGCCCGCGACTGCGACCGACGAGATGCCGCCAATGATGACCGAGACGAGCAGGCCCATGACGAGGAAGAGGAATGGCAGGAAGCCCGCGAGTCGGAGCTTGTTGAACGAGAAGAAGGCGACAAAGCCGCCAATGACATAGACGAGCACCGTGGAAGCGACCGTCCACAGGAAGACCGACAGCCAGATCTCTAATTGCACAAGGGAGCAAGTGCAGATGTGTATGTGTGGGGGTGGTGGTGAGGTGAGTGGCGGGTTGTGGAAGGCGGGATGCCATGCTGTCATGGTGCTTCCATAGAGCGACAGTATCCCACGACTACCAGTACGCTGCTGTTGCACAATCATCATCATCATCATCATCATCATCATCATCATCATCATCATCTGATGGCGAGCGAGTGGGGACTGCTTTACCGCTGAATCCTTCAATGGTGCCTTCCGTGGCGGGCCATGCAGGAACCGCCATTCCGCGTCTGGTTTTGTCTCAGATTTGGCTGAATAGATAGAAGACTAGAAGTTCCTGTTGAAGCGCACCTTCCCAAAAAATTGTATAAGAGTAAGATATGCACATTGACTCAAGCAAGCCGATCGGAACCATTACTCGAGAGCAGAGCGAGAGAGAGAGAGAGAGAGAGAGATTTTGGCGCGATTTCAGCCATTCTGAGCGATCGAGCGTGCTTTCTCAGTATTCTTGGATAGTTTAGTACCAACATCATCATCACCATCATCATCATGCAATGGATCATCGACATGCACAATTCGATCGCCTCAAATGCCAGATCGAATCGCTCGTCAATCCACATTTCGTCGTTTCGCTTCCCCCCCCCCTTTCATCCAGGTTGCTTTTGAGTCAAAATGGCATCGTCGTCGCCGGCCTTCCAGTCGCGGCACTCGGCGCCTGCAGCGTGGATGGCTCAGTTGCAGCTGTTGCAGCAGCAGCACCAGGCACTCGGTGCGCAGATTGCCCATCTACGCAACCACACCCAGCCAGTCGGCGGCGATTTGGCCGGATCCGGTCATCATCATCCCCAGCCCCAGCCCCAGCCTCGTCCTCAGCCCCAGCCGCAAGACGAGCCGTCGCTCATGTCCCTGCAAGACGCCCCTGTGCCTGGTGCTGCGCGTGCTGCCGTCGTGGCGTCGCTGGAGCAGCAGCAATCGGCGCTCGCACTGCAGATCGCCCAGCTGCTCAAACTGCTCCAACCACAACAGCAGCAGCCTGCCCAACACCAACACGGATCGTGGCCGACGCCTCCTGGCAGTGCTGGTCCCGCCATGTTCCCATCCCACCAGCAGCTCTCTGTCTCAAGCTCTGGCGCTGGCTCTGGCGCTGGGTCTGGTGTTGCGACTGTCGCTGAATCTGCCCGAATTGGAAGCAGCGGCGGTCATCATTCGCAATCCCAATCTGCGCTCAACCTGCCATTCCAGCACAATCCATTCGATGCACCGCCAACGTCGCCCGTCTTCCAGACAACGCCAATGCAAGGCACATCGATGTTGACTGGTGGTGCTGGTGCTGGTGCGGTCGGAGGATGGCAGCAACCCTCCACTGGCCAACCGCCAGTCAATCCATTCGAGATCCCGCATGCTGCAGAGTCGACCGCACTTGCGTATGGGCGCGGAGGCGAGTCAAGACCGCTCGTGGATGGTTTGCGGAATGACAGGAACGACAGCCACGACGTCGGCATCCCTCCGGTGAAATCGCGCTCCTTCTCATTCAATGTTCTGGCGCCAATCACAGGCGGTAGCGGTAGCAGTGGCAGTCCTGCAAAAGATCCCTGGGGCGAGAATGCAGGCCGACAGAGTCCACTCAGATCTGCTCGCTCGAGTGAACGCCTGGAAGAAAACATCAGCCCGACAACGACAGCGAACGGCCGGCTCTCAGGCACTCAGTCGCCCAGCGGCTATGGCAAGGCCGCGCTCACTTCCATGAGCGACACGATTGCCTCCGCTGCGTCTGTGGCGGCAAACACGGCTGCTGCGGCCCTGTCCAATGCCGGATCCCTCGTCCGGCGGAAACCCTCGTACCAGCCGCTCGATGGCACGCTCTTGGCATCCAACGACGACGACGACGACGCCCAGCCAGACCAGGAAGGTGCTGATGCCGAGCACGAAGAGCACCACGATCGATTTGACACGAGTCAGTCGCTCGGCTCGTGGGGGTCTGGTCTGCGCGCGGCCATTTCTGCAGGCGATCTCTTTGGCTCGGGCGCGCGCTACCGCAGCATTTCGGATGGCGATTCGACATCGAGCTCCTTGGGCGCAAAGTCCTCCCTGCTGCTGGGCTCGAACAGTGAGACTGGTTCGCAGTTTGGACGCGATGCCTCCCAGCCTGACGCGTTTGCCGAGATGCACGGCTCGTTTGGCAGACAACGCATCGACCCGCTCCATCCCCCGCCCAATACCCCGCTCGTTCTCGCTCCCGCGCGATCGGTCGCCCCTCCTGTGACGCCGTCGTCGCCTGCCGCGTTTCCGAAAGCTGGAGGAGGAGGAGGAGGCGGCGGCGCAGATCAGCTCGGATGGGTGTCGTCGCCTCCGCTCGCTGTCAGCCGTAGCAGCGTCGACACCTCGCAAACCAACCTGGACGACGACTACCAGCCGTTTGCCTCGTCCACCCGTTTGACTCGCTCAGTGTCCACCCCAATGGAGCCCTCCTTCAACGCCCGCAAGAGCCTCGAAGCGTTCTCGTCCTCGGGAGATCCTTCCCAAGGTCTTGCCGTCAACGACGCCTGGACGGATTCGCCCAGTTCCCGCGATTCGCGATCGCCCATTTCCGAGCTGAACGCGGTTGTTTCCAAGACCATGGGTGTGTTGAAAAGGAAGGGCGGCAGTCGCTACGACGTCCTGGATGGCGACGAC